TAATCTGCAGAGAATATATAAACATTAATACACAAACATATACTAGAAGAGCTTAAGAACAAGTTTTTACAATGTCATATGGGAACTGTCACTCCATGCAATACTCATAGTACCTTGCATTTTCCTTCAGCCAATTTCATGAGCATATTTCTCCGTTTCCTTGAACTGTTTGTGGCATCAAATATTCCTACCTATAATCCAGTTGGATTTGTCAAAAAGAAAGGATTAAGCAGACACCAGTAGAGATCAATATCACTCATGTAGAAGGACTTACCTGGCCACCTTCTTGCATCCAAGAAACCATGTCATCGAATGCCAGGGCTGCTACCTGGTAGCACGTGATATATTAAAACTATGTACAAAGAAAAAGGTTAATATTGTGTTAACTTGGCCATTTGCCCAATGAAATCCAATTTCCTATAAACAGTACTATTCTCAAGCAGAAACACTCAGAGTTACAAGCATCTATAGACTGGTGCACTAAGACCTGACTGAAATACGCTAAAAGTGCTTACCCTCAAGGTGTTTTCACTTCATTAGGATCGTATTCTATTTCGTGTTTCATATAAGACCTCATCTATTTCACTTGAGAAACATCCGTTCAAGATGTGTCTTTTCTAAACAGGAGAATCTATCATGATTTATGAAGTCTAAAAGAAAGTAAATCCAAGGACATTCACCTCATTACGTGCCTCCATGCCTTCAGGGTTGTCAGGTCGGAAAAAATCAGCAGTCTGCATGAATAAAATATGGTGAGATTTTGCAGGGCACCCAAGCACTATTTGATTAAATAATTTAAACACTGTTTAAATTTATATCTCCACCCACATCTTCAATATTGTGGTACCATGTCTATTTTCTTTTGACACAGGAATACCACATGACATGTTTGCAAAAGTTTAAACTAAGATTCTAGTGATGAAAAAGTTAGGCAGCGAGACAAATAGATTGCATTTTGTATGATGACTCATCAGTCAACAGATAACAAGTTAACCACTAATGACTTCTAAATTCTCTGCCAATTAATCAACCAAATCAAACTTTCAACAACCTACAGTTTTACCTGATTAGCTCCATGCTTAAGACGGCGGTACTGCAACAAAAAATAAAAAACAAAAAAGGCATGTTGGTGTCCATCTTCATATATTTCCAACAATGAACACAACAAACAATTGTCAGTCATAAAAAAGTAGTAACCTTTCCAACATTGAAGTGCTTGGTATCATGACCCAACCAGCGGAGATACCTTGTAAGCTTAGCTGCTGTAAAAGTTTTTCCACGAGCAGGCAAACCAACCTGAAGTATGTAAAACTTGTTAGAATTGTTTGTTCTAGTGGTCATGAACAAATTTTGAATCAACCAAAATAAAACCTTCTATGTTTCAGCTTTTAGGCTACTAAATAATACATTCAATTTTACAATTACCAAGAAGCAAACTAAGAAACAACACTAAGCAGATGATTATATTTATCAAGTTCTAAGCTGTGTGGCCAATCACCCAAGCAGGGCAATACCAGGACAATTGCCAAATGCCTATCTTCCTTTGGTCCAAGCATTTGATCAGCTACGGCTGCAGCTGCAACGGCTCCAGCAGCTTCTGGAATTGAATTCTGATATAAAACATAGAAAGATAGAGTTTCAGAACAACACCCACTGCAGATAGAAGATGAGTTAACTTTTGATAATCTTCGAGGCAAGATGCTAATCCATACAGACCTTTTTTTCTGTATCAAATCTGGACTCAGAGAAAGTACTAGTACTAGAAGATTTAACTAGCCTAGGAGATCCAACACCTCTATCCACAAAGAGACCCTTGTGACTATCTTGCTTTTGGAAAGGTGAAAACGTTCCCACTGACTTTGATTCAACCATCCCAGACGAAGAAGACAGATTGGATGAATCTGGGATAACAACCTCCATCTCCTGCATAAACTTTGAATTAAAGGTATGCTTACGGTACAATGTATTAAAATTCTCCAGAGTCAAATATTGTCCCAGAACCAAAATATGATTAGAGCCTCCTATTGTAAAAGTTGTTCTACTCAAAATTGCAATAAAACAATGAGAAGGTAAGAATTGATAGATGTTACATAGTGGTGAGAGAGAGAGGGTGAAAGAGAGAGAGAGAGAGAGAGAGAGAGAGAGAGAGAGAGAGAGAGAGAGAGAATATAATTTAGAAATAAATAAAACTAAAAAAAAGGCACACAGGTAATGTGATAAACCTTTTTAGTTGCAGGTCGATCATCTGAAACACCACTATCGTTGAAGGTATGTGAAGCACTGGTAGAGCCATCTGCATTGGTAAAAACTCCAGAAAGATTTAATGACCTTGGAGTCTCGGTCTTGTTAGCTGCGTAAACATGACCTGAATTGGCAGAAGTTGAAGGAGCTGGAACGACATAATATTCAAGGTCAAGCTCCAAACTAGCTGAAGAGCCATTCTGCATATACAACAACCCCACTTTGAGCCAACCAACGAAAATGGTCAAAAGCTTCTTAAACAGGTATGGAAACAATCTAATAACCTCACTTTGAGCCAACCAGGACCGCAATTACAACCGATAAAAAGTCAATATAATGAATAAGCAATAAGAGAGATGCAAAGCTTCTGACTTGGAACGCACCTCGGCACCTATCTCTGGCACTGTACCTAAACTGACATCAGGAATTCCGCGAACAGCAGAAGGCCTAAGGTTATCCTGATAAGCCCTCCAACTGGCTGCAAGATCAAACGGCGATACCCTATCTGCCTTAATGAACACCCGGTACTCAAGAACCTCATCACTGCTAAGCCTAAATATAGCCAGCCTTTGATCCCCTTGCAAGGCCCCTCCAATGAGTTGGCGGTTCGGACCCTCCTCCACAACACAAGGTGCAGGCGCATTGTTCTTTGGCTTCAAAAGGAACTTGAAGTCCAAAGTTTCTAGTTCGAATACAACAAAACCAATCATATCAGAAATCGAAAGCCAAGATCTTTCCACTCCACAATGGAAACAGAGTTAAACTAAGCAAATACTAGTACAGCAATTTAAGGCTCCGAATTACAAGTCGAAAATCGAAAGCGGAATCATAAATTACCATGATTCGGAGGAACAACAAAGCTCAATTCCCACATGGAAGTCGATTCCCGCTCCATTGAAAGCTAACAATCATTCAATACAACCAATTGCATCAATCAGCAATCAGAAAACAAAAACGGGATTAACTAATAGATAGTCAGCGAACTAATTGGATTGAATTTGTAGAAAGATTACAGCTTTGGAAGCATCCCAAGAGCCAACGAGCGGGACGGAGCCGAAGACGTGAGGGAGGAGCTCGCCTTTCTTGAGCTTGTAATTGTTCTCCATCTTCAGCGACACATAGAGCTGCCCACCTCCCTGGTCCAAATATTCCTCCTCCTCCGGCTCATGGCCGCCGTGCGAGCCGTCGTCCGTCCTCTTGGACGCACCGGTCCCCATTCTCTCTCTCCTCTCTCTCTGCTCAGAACGGCGGTTAGTGCGCTTTGTGGTGCGAGTTTTTGGGATTGGATAGAATGGGAGTGGAGAGTTAGAGATGGAAAATGGGAGGGATTGGAAATATTTTGGATTGGATTGAATTTATATGCTGCCGGCCTCGGGTTGGATTGGATTAGCTTTCTAGTTTGATGATGGGGTCACCGCCGCGGCTAAGGCCTTCCCCGGTACGTTAGAAGGAGAAGTTGCAAAATCAAATCATATTACGTACACTGAAAAATTTGACTGTGATATTAATATATTGAATATATTATCAATATACTTGTTATCCTTGTTTTATTAAGATACATTCGCTTCTTGTGCGTGATACGTATTTTGATACTGGACTAACATATGTCATGATGTTTTAGGTTAGAATCGATCAGATTAGTGGTTTGGATTAACAATCTAGCAATGTAATTATCTCAATCAACCATTTACGGAATTTTTTCTTCTTCTAACAACTAGAAGATGACTGAATTTTAAATCTACTCTTCTTGTTGATAAGAACAATATAGATATTATGTATTGTCAAACGCTTTGATTATGTTAGGCCAACTACTTTTTTTTTTTTTTTTTTATCAGTGATTGACTTATTTATTTTCAAAAATGACGATTTCAAGTCAACAAGATTTTCTGTTTTGCGAAAGTTGAAAAGGAATCGACTTATTTATCTTTAATTTCCATAATTATTAGTTTAGTAGATTTTTTGGAGTTGTTGAAGGAAGTTTGGTGTTCGAATTCTTGTTCTTGCTTCTATATCAAAATTCGTAACAAATATCCTCCACAAAATTTTGATGAACGGCAGATTAATTAGCAACATAACTTTGGATATATGCCTGGGACCAATAGAATATTCAGGTAAATTATACTCCTTTTTTTTTTGGTGAAAAGGCAATTATATTCCGAGGAATTAGTATTTTGAATTCTCTAACAAGCATATTTTTATCTCATGTTGCGAGTAGTAATGTACGCTTTTAGGATAATCAGTATAACAATGAGGTGCTTTTAATGATAAATATACAAGTAAATTCTGAAAAGTACTTAAGTGAAGTACTTTAAATATTTTTGAAATTAAAAAATAATTGCTCTGAAAGAATTTACAGTCATTTAAAAGCACATCAGTCTATTTAGAAATATTTTTAAAATAACTAAAAATGTTTTAAATTATCGAAACCATTTGTATGACATAAAATGTTAGAAATGCTTCTAGGTTCAAACAAAGTACTTGAAGTTAATATACTTTTGGTAGAAGTCTTTTTACTTAAAAGTAATTCTAAGCGGAAATACATGCAAAAAAGTTTTTCCAAACGAGTTCTAAAGTTTCGATTTCCTCTGATGTATACAGTGATAATAGTTACGGGCCACGGCCCAAACAACAGCATAGGTCTAGCTATTTAGAAGATGGCCCACTAATGCCCTTTAATTCTTACCCGGGTCGAGCCCATGTCCGTCGGATTACATCCAACGGCCCAAAACACAGCTAGGGTTTTACTTATAAACGCTAACCTCCCCCTCACTGTCTCACTCCCACAACACAACACCCATTTCTCATCCGCCGGTTCTCATCGGAGGACCTCCAACAAACAGCGCAAGGGTTTCCAGTCACGCTTCGCCGCCATGAGAGCCAAGGTAACAACTCTAACTAGTTCACATTTCTGCATCCAAATTTTTTAGCTTTTCCTGAAAGTGCTTATGATAAGTTAGAAGCTTTGCCAAACAAGGCCTTAGTCTCCAATCTATCAAGATCAATCTCCTATAATTGGTTCCGTTTAATTGCAGTGGAAGAAGAAGAGGATGAGGAGGTTGAAGAGGAAGCGCCGAAAGATGAGGCAGAGATCTAAGTGAGAGGAGCAGCTGCGTGGAGCTCGTTCGCATGGCGGATCTTCTGACCCCTAGGGTTTTGGATCTTGTCAGACTTAGCGGTTTGTTTAGAATTAATGTGAAACCTTTGATGTTCTTATCTTTTTACCTTTGCTACCTTTCTTACTATTCAAATGAAATTTGACTGCTTTTTATAATTTGGCTGCGAGGATTGCTTTGTTTGGAAGAAATTGTGATTTTAAATGTTTGATTTGTTTTTGTTGATTTTTTACATTGGGGTTTATCTGAGTAAAACGTTAAATTTTGGGTAGAAATCAAATAGTTTAGTTAACCCTAAACACCCAATTGAATTTGGTGAAAAGTTTGAGGATTTTTCAAATTTGGGAAGTTTTAGGAAAGATAGAAGAGTTGGTTTTTTATTCTCAGAAAAATGGGGGAAGTTTTAGGGAAAGTGCTGGGTATAATGTAACAACCCGTCCCTGTAATTTTTGGGGACGGGTCGTTACATAAAATCCATCATTGAACCTTCCTAAATTCTTCTCCAAACTAAAATTTGAGGAAAAAAAAAAAAAAAAAGTCATCCAACCCTTTCTTAAGCTTCTCATTTGTAAGAAATTTCCTCAACTTTTTGTAGTCTTGAGGGTTCACAAAATTTTCAGAACTTGGAACCTCTCTATCTTATTGTAGTCTTGCGGATTTGGATGAGTGCTGCTATGTTTGCTACTTTTCCAACTATCTTATAACCAAAATACAGATCACAAATTCATGTAAGGTTGTTGTGCATAGCAATATTCATTCAGATTTGTTTAGGAGGATTATGTTTATCCAAAGTATGTTTTTAAGAAATGTTTGGTGACCAAGGAATGTGTGGTCATCCACCATTAGATTTTGATCATGGGTGGAGATTAAATGAATGAGCTTTTAAATCTCAAACTCTTGATATAAAATCTAAAGGGTGTTTGACCATGAATCCTTAATCTGTGACCAAGAGAATGAGGCACTTATATTTGTATCTTGATGAGCTGGTATGCTTGCTTAGGTTTGGTTGGTGTACCACGTTACTGGTCCAACCATACTCATAAAAAATCGAATCCCCTGCATTTGTGTTGGACAAGCATTTGGTGTCTGAGGAGGAAGAAATTCTACGGTTTTGCACCGGATCAGCTCAACCATATGGTCAAGACACAAAGAACCACCCTACCCCACCTCCTTGATTTTCAACGTCACACTTAACCCTATTTTTGATCCCACCCTCTTTCGTCCGAAAACTAGACTAGGATTGAAAAAATGGTGGGGTCAAAGAGTGGAGAAGGGGTTGGTCTAACAATCGAGGGTGTGGTGTAGGGTGGTTGTTCTGTCTGGGACATAGGGGTTCTGGTTTCCCTATGCTAGAATTTCATTCTTTTGTGACCCAAATAAGGAGTTATGCTCTTTGTGAATTTGTGAGTGTGGTCGGACGGGTGACGTGGTCCACTAACTTAATCTAGAACATGCACATGGAATTTTTGAGAAAAGGTAGTGGATTCAGATTTAATGAAAAGAGGATTAACGATAATCCGCATTATGTTTTTATATCTAGAAGTAGAGATATTGTTGCCTATGAGTGTTGTGCAAAGGATTCATTATAAATATTTGGGTCCAACGAGTGAACCATCACCTATTTGGCCACTCAAGAGAACTGAACTCCCTCCATTAGGGTTCCTCAAGTAGGAGTGTATAAACTTCAAACACACCGAGTCATGTTCTTGTGAGTCCTTTGGATCCCAGAAGGTCTCGAGAGAATTTGTAATGAATGAGCAATTCTGTACTTCCTGTCTTCCTTTTCTTCAAGTAATGCTAGAAGCACCGACTTTTTTCTTAATTTTTGTTTCAACAATCTTACTTGGTTTGGATCCAATATGGTTCCGTCATGTGAGGGAGTTGAGATAATAGTTGGTAAAAGAGTCAGTGTGTCTAGTATTATTGATTTCGATTCTTTGCATCCAGAGTATCGATCAAATTCTTGTTTACTGTTTAAGGACTCGGTGGTGTTCAGTGTGCATGCTAGTTGAGGAAGCACAAATGGTGGAACCCTAAAAGAAGGGATTACGTTCTTTGTGAGAGTGGTCTGACGGACGACGTGATCCTCCGCCAAATCGGAGAATTTCCCTGAGTGAAGACCTGTCGCACCCAATTCAAATTAAATTAATCTTGTAGTTTTACCAGTATAATATCTTCAAACACATTATATGTTGGACATTTTACAAACACATTTTCTGCTACAACTAATCTGCTGACACCCCCATCGATCAATTTCTGGGTTCATGTACGTATAGAGTGAGCTAAATCGTGCCATTTCTTCTACTATTCGCGCCTATCTTCTTTAGTTCCTCAAATGCAAGTACCGTCTCCGAATCAAAACCACCTGCAAACTGAATTTTCTGTGTGTGAGTACCCGGTACAACGAATTAACAAGTAGGTCAAGAAATTTGGAACGGCGTTTGTGAAGCGCTTCACTACCTGGTGTACCCGGAAAGCGAATCGGACTCCTTGAAGCAGGAGATTTTCTTCTCTTGAGCATTCACTAGACTGCACTTCTCTGGTAATTCTCTTCATATACTCCTTGGCTAGCTTCAGTGAGCTCAGTTTCATCTGCAAATAGTTATGTGTACAAGATATGCAGTTATTATCAATCGATGGTTTTGGGTGAAATGAGATGTTTTCGAATGAATGTGCGTGAATCCACCCCTTGCTTCAAATCCACTCCTCAGGTATTGTCGTTAGCACTCTGAAACAGTCGTAGAGTGAAGAACGATTATCTTAAGAGTGTTAATAACAACTTTCTTATTCTTCGCGAACTGCTATCTACAGTCTCGTAGAATAGTGTGGTCAATTCATGTTCACAATTTTCACATTTTATAGCTTCCACATCATTGTTAATCAGTCGAAAGTTGAAACTAGATGGGGGTTTGCTTAGCTAGAAAGTGTTCAAATCTTTTGCCTTTATTTTGTTTTGTGTGGGCCTTCCTGTGGCTCCTATCGTTGATTGATACGTGTCCATAAGTTTAACTCTCCTTAATTCTATTGTCATACATTTAACCCTTCTTAACTCTGTTGTCATACATTTAACTCTCCTTAACTCTATTGACATAAACTTAACTCGTATCATTCAATGATAAAGACTACACACAAAATGAGTACAAAAAATTTGATCTCGACTAAAAAACGTAGATATTTAGTTACTTGAGCTCTAATTAACCATAATTTAGTACCACTTTAATGGAAGTCAAAAGTAAACATAGGATTCATAAATTATTATCTGAATGATTGCCAAATTAAAGTTATTGGTAAAACATGGTTATCTACCTACCTGACCCATCAGGCCTGTGTCCAGCATCCATTCCCATGGGATCTGAAAATCCTTGTACCTCTTGCTGGCACTCTCCCTTGTTCTTTCTGTGCTGCTCACACTTCTTTCCAACCTGCAAAATTGGACTTCTAACATTAAACGAGACGATATTGTAAGCTATTACTCCAATCAACTGACCTGACACACATCTGCAATTTTCTATATCAATGGAATGGTAATATTGTACTCCACGCTTACCTGTCTTGTAATGCTTCCATTCTTCTCAGAGCAAGGACTGATGGCTCCTTCATGTTGTCCTCGAATGATGAGGCTTCATTTTTCAGATTCCTCAGGTCTCTGTAGCTGAAAGCGGCTTCTCGCAGCGTGTCTGCTTTTCGTTCCGGCCACTGCGGGAAGTGCTTCAGCACTGCTCTTTCATCCACTAAAGAAGATAGCTGCCGATCCAGCCAATTTACAAATGCTTCCACGTCTGCGATGTTTGTAAATTTTGCAGACTCCACCTCACTGATCAAGAAATTTATGAACTCTCCTTGCGTTTCGACCTCCGACTTTATCTGTCCAGAATGTAGAAATTAGTATTAGAAATATTTCTTACTGTATGATTCTCTCTTGATTTAATCAATTCAATTACCAGAAGAAAGTGTGCAGACTTAGAAAAAGGCGTGTGCGGAAATCATTTGCTATATTAACTTACAGCTAAAACATAAGATGAACGGTTTTCAATTTCTCCGATCATGTTCTTAGTAAGTGCAAAAGCATGAACTCCTGCAGGGTTGGCTTTGTTCTCCATGTGTGCATCTTTCCTTGTAAGTGAACGGTACAGCTCAATTACTTCTGGCACACGTCGCACTCCTCTTGACCCGATTAATGATTTTGAGGGCGGAGGAGGAGGCGGCGGTGCTGGTGCTGAAGGCCCTTTATTTTCCTTTACCTCCTTGAACAAAGCAGGAGGAGGAGGAGGAGGCCTTGGTGTTGGTGGTGGTGCATCGGTTGGTAATAATCTTGTTGCCGGTCTTTCCTTTATGGCTTGAGATTCCGTGAAGTCTACTTTCGGATTCGGTCTCTCTTTCGCTGGACTCTGCTCCAATGCACTCTGCTCCAATGTGCTTTGAAACTTCTTCCAGAGCACAGATTTCCTCTCATTGTTGTGTGCTTTGAGGGAAGTTATTTGTGCTTTAAGACGACCAACTTCTTGCTTCAATTCATGGTTTTCTTTCTCCAACGAGCCGTTCTTTTCGAGAGAGGCTTCGAGTTCTTTCCTGAGAAAGATGACGATCTCGGAGCTTTCATCTTCTTCTGGCATCGTCCGAGTTTGCTATGCTTTCACTGGAAGGAGATAGCTAGAGGTGACAAATGAGTTGCTGGCTCGTTCCTCTTTTATGTTATGTTGTCTTACTTTTGATGCAAGGCTTGGTGAGTTCACGTAAACATGACGATTGATGCTGATCTAGCGAGTCGTTTATTAGGGCATTAATACTACATTAACATTAGCTTGCCCTTTTTTATTTTGATATAAGCGATAACGAGCAAGGCCCGGAGGGAAAACGGTACACATGACTTTAGATATAGGGTAGATGATTTTTTTTTTCTTTTTCTTTTAGTGAGAGTGAGGAGAATCGAACCTAGAGACCTCTCAAGTGTAGAGCGTAGATGGTTTTCTCACTTGATCCAAATATGTTAACCTTAGTTTAGACAAGGATACTTTTACATTTGCAAGACTTTATACGTTAACATTAGTTTATTCTGTCATTTGTTTAATGGCAATGTTGAATTGTAGGTAAGGGACTTGATTGCAAGTACTAGTTGGTTTAGGTGCAACATTATATTCTTTGGTCAAGTTTACTATAAACCCCATCTTTTTCTTGAGCATTTAATACAATTATGTTAGAATATAATTGGCAAGGTAGTGTATTCATAATTCCAAAAGCCTGAGCATTCACGTAATGAATTAACAATGTATGTCAACTTTTACCTTAATTTGGTACATACGTTGACAGGTAGATCAATAGCAGGAGAGGTACAAACATATAGGTGAAGCCTAACTCTGTGCTCTGCAAACCAACAAAGAGGTGATCAATGAGAATCGAATTCAAAACCCCTACACTAAAGACTCGGATACCATATTAGAAAGCACTAGTCCATGTATCATGTACCGAACATGGTTATGGCTCCTACTAATCACAAGTGAGTGTTAGGTTTTTTTCTTCTTCTTATGTCTTCTCAACGCCACTAAAACTGTGCATTGGATGCGTACGAGAGTCACTCTTAAGTTTTACGTGAGGAATGTCATTTCCATCACATTTTACATGTAGAATTGTCAAGCTTCGGCTAAACAACGAATGGTGCATGATTGATTGATTGCTAACTAACAACTTAATGCTCACTAACTAGCTTCTTGGACCAGTTTTTGTTGTCCAGGTGTCAGTCTCAGGCTGGGATGTTGAAATCATTAGGTAAATCTTAATTAGCATACATAAGTCGGTTGATATGCCGATTGATTTAGTCCTCCACGGGATCATGACAAAATTGAATACGAATTTTCAATTCTTTGCTTGCGAAGCAAGGCGAAAGCCATAAAAAAGGGGAAGGGGAAATAAGAGCAACAGAGAAGGATATATGCTGACAGTCGAAAATTAAAGAAAAAGTAAAAGCCTCGACATTCACAGCCTACCAGATTCAGATCTTCCCCTATTCTTGCTTTATTTTTCATGTCCTTCATGGAACAAAGTAAAAATAAAATGGAGAGCGGGTGTCATTTTTCTTTTTGAGGATCACATTTATGCAAAAATTCTTCATGACAACACAAATCTTGCAAGATGGTTGCAGAATAAGTGGCCGGCCATCCAGCTTTATTATGCCCAATGAGAAGCTACTTACGTCACGCAACTATCCAGCAATATATTTGCCGCATTAGACAAAACCCTACACTTATCTTGTGGTAATATAACAAGATCGATATTTGGATGCCATTGTTTATGACAACAGTTTAAATTACTCTAATTTATGGTGAGAGAACTTAAATATCGATATAAAGAACAAACACACTATCATAATCAACTAGACAATATACGTCAGATTTAAGAGGCAAAATTTGTTCTATGCCAATGAACCCCTAAGGAGAAAATCCTACAACTGTGAATAATAAAGCATTAATAGGCTGAAGCTGAAAGGTAGCTCACCTAGACCTGAGGTGTAATTACTTGGCATGAGCATAATCTTTAGATCTTTTTTAAGGGTTTATGTTCTTCTCACTGATTTTAGTACGGAATAGGATCCTCTCATGACCAAATGCTCTGGATCCTCATGATTAACCAACATAGGTTGTTAGATTTTGATCTAACGGTTATAATTATTATAATTTTTAAAGGAACTTTCTGTTTGTAACAATTTGATCAAAATCTAACGGCCTGTGTTAGTTAATCATGAGGATCCCCAGGATTTACTCAGGAGAGGATCCTATTCCTTTTAGTACAAGTCCACTTCAAATTCAGCTTTAATTTCTAGGGGACCACATACCCTATAGAGCCCCTAATCAAAGTACCCTACAGGTAAGGGAACCTTATTTTGGGTGGGGGGTAGTGCGTGTGTGTTTGTTCATAGATAAAACAACTTGAACGTGCAGGACCCTGTATTGATTTGAAGGACTTTAATTTGATGGAGAATGTGTGCAACTTTCTATATACGTGATATTCTATTGTATTATTAGTACGAACACTGTGATGATGACGAATTCCTGCCACGTAAAATACTTTTAAGTAAAAAAGCCAAAAAAAGAAAAGAATAACTTACATGAAACAGATTCACCATCACATAATATTTCTTACCTAATAATGTAGTGTTATGTGTAAATTTTGATTCACATGATAATGTGTTATTAGATTAGAACTTCATATGTAAAATATGTTCCATATAAATTGTTTTCAAAAGATCGAGGAGATTTTTTATTTGGTCAAAGAAGGTAGAGGAGACTCAGAAACTAGGTAGTAGTCTCTAGTCAGTGAAGAATTCATTTGGCGGACAGACATGCCCATATCAAGGGAAACAGAAAAATCAAATTTGACTACTCTACTTGAACACGATCTTTCATTTGAATGGCCATCTGACATGTTTGGACGTACTTTACAGTACTAGCAATAGCTTGCACAGTAATAACTCAGTCTTTCCTTGGTAAGGAGATCCTTGCGTACAACTAGTGACAAAAACTTGGATTACAAACTTATACGTCAACATGATATGGACGAGTAAGTAATCAAAGTACCAGTAATATAAATAATATTAGTAGTCAATAACGTGTGGGTATGCTTTTTAAAATTGAACGGACAAATTAAATACCTAATTTAACAGCCTGATTCAAGTTGTTCTCATATTCTTCTAGCACTCATCATGTGAAAATAGCTAAAGTAGGAAAATACATGTATTTATCGCACAGAAAAAAAAACAAAGATAAGAAGCAAGTCAATCATACAGACTTTTTTGCGCATCTTAACTTGCTATGTGGGTTAGTGGATTAGTATGTTAATTGGGTTGACCACATTTCAAGAAGCTTTTGGTGTCACAAAAGCAACACATTTCAAGGAATGCAACCACAGCTTAAACCTAGCTATACATGGATCTTGCAATTTATAAACATAATTAATTTCCAAATCAAAGTCCTAACTTAGTGTTTGATACAAAATACTCACTTGAGCATCTCAACGTCCTTGATCGGCACTACTCTAGTGTCCCTTTTAACGTCCTTCAAGAAAGAAACACATAACTAATTCTTCTTGTAAAAAACACTTCAAGTGTTTTTTTTCAGGATTAACTTACATTTTTACCAATAATTAGTTTCAAAATATTTTTTCTGAAAACGCTTCAGTTATTTAAGATCATTTCCCAAACGAGCTCTTAACTATCCAACAAAACAAAATACACACCAAACTGCCAAAGGTTCCAAACTACAATGATTGGAACCCAAATTTTCCTCTTTGGGTCATGGCAATTGAGCTTGTTTGACAAGTATTAAAATAAAAGGTTCAAAACATAGGAAATGATACGAATGAAGCAGAAACTAATAATTCCAAGTAAATGAATTGATTCCATCACGAATAATAGAAAATAGAAACACACTACTAAGACATAATTTGCTCTTATTCTAATTTAAATAAAATAGTTCACTCTACCAAAGTACTAAGATCTTATTCTAATTTGAATTTCTTGAGATCATTCTAAAGGATGGCATTTTTCTATTGAGGATTTGGCGGGCGGCTATTGGCAGATGAGACCCTTGACCCCCATTCAAGCAGCTCTTTGCTTGTGTCATCCTTGTGAGCAATCACTTCTATGAAGCACAAGCAGTCTTTCTTCTCCTCCGTTGCTGTTGCAATTGCCTCCGTTAGCTCCTCCTCAGTACGAACCTGAGACCAAAAAAAAGAAGGAAAAACACATAAATTAGGTCCTGATTTACTTCTCCAACACAACATATATAGTCTACCAAAGCAAGTACAATACCATTCACGCTCTCAGTTTGTCATCCTTCGTCTAATATGAGATGGAAAATAGCAGCTGCCTAATTCGTGCATGTTTTTAATCAAACACTAACCTTTGTTGTCCAGCAGTTTCCTTCGCCGTTGTGGATTGCGTCCACCAAACCAGTGTAGTTCCAGTTCTTGATCACATTGTAAGGGCCGTCATGGATTTCAACTTCTATGGTGTATCCGCCATTGTTTATGAGGAAGATGATGCTCCTTTGATTGCATCGAATCATTGTTGACACATCTTGTGCAGTCACCTGTCATAAAAAAAAGTTATATATATAAGCTTTGAGACCAATTAATTAACCAACAATATTTCTCTAAAATGTTAAAGTTAAATCAAACGCTGGTCGAAGCATTAATTTGAACCTGGAAGCTCCCATCACCGATGCAAGCAATGACGCGCTTCTTCGGAACTGACTGTGCATAGCCTAGAGTTGCACCAACAGACCAACCAATCGATCCATATTGCATCTGGAATTCGTACCTGCAAGACCAACTTTTTTTCTCTAATGATACTGAAAAAATAAAAACCTCAAATAAAATAGCCAGGGTTTTGTTGCATGCTCACCCACATCCTTCCGGCAGTTTCAATTTCAAGCAGTTAAACCAAGAATCACCGGTCTCAGCAATAACCGCGGTGTCAGCTGAGAGCATTTTCTGAATGTGCTGGAACAGAATGTTCACTCTAAGAGGCTCATTAGGCTGAGATTTGAGAGGCTGGCCATCTGGGACGAAGATTCTGGTATAGTTTTCGTGAGCGGTTGTGTTTTTGGTGACACGCTGTGCAAGTGCCTGAAGAAAGTCCTTCATTAGGACACACCCGAAAGAAGGGCCATTGCCAACCACCACACGATCAGGCTGCACAATAATTGCCTTCTCCCTCTTGAGAAGAAGAGAGTATCCAACAGAGCTGTAGTCGTTGAAGATTGGACCAGCAAACAAGTATGCATCGGCAGACTCTACAATCTCACCACAGTAGGCTGTGCCGACTGCTCCCCAGTATGTCCCGATGTAGCGAGGATGGGTTTCGGGGAAACGCCCTTTGGCTGATGGCATCATGGCAACAGCATAGCCACTAGCATCAGCAAATTCAACAAAGGCTTCATGTGCCTTTGCCACTCGGATCTTTGGTCCGCCAACCACAACTGGCTTCACTGCCTTGTTCAAGAAGGCAGCTGCGGCCTCCACAGCGGCTTCTAGCCCCAACTTGTTGGTCATTCTGTATCACGAAATCATCAAATTGTCATAAACTAAATCTCATGTTAAAGAAACAGAAAAAAAATGTTACATTATCAAATTGTCAATCATAAATATCTTATCTGTCGAACTTTTATTTGATACTGGACATGGTGCGGGATCTTGTACATGTTTGACATACCTTACACAACTCAGATAAACCATGAAGATCAATTAACAAATAAGTTACCTAGGTGAGATGGAAAATTTAATGGGGTGTGTGCTAAAAGCTGGATGTGGAATGCCAGGCAAGTTGCAGCTAATGCTGATATAGACAGGCTTGCTTTCTTTGAGAGCAGTAGAAATGGCAGTATCAATTTGTTCATGTGCATCATCCAAGTTGTTTACCACAGCCTGCCACAGCAAATAGCATAAACAAGAATCTATGCATAATTACACAAGGAAAATAACACAAATCCAAATTTTCCCAAAACGCAAAATAACACAACAATATATTATAAGTAATAAATTCAAATCCTAATTAGGTCAAAGCACTAAAATGTTGTATATATATTATTATGCATGGTTCTACACTTAAAATTTAAAATGTGGCCTGCAATTTAACACTCCTATTTATTCTCCTTTTTGTGAGTAAAAAAATGTCATCAAAGAGTATAATTTAAAGCTCAGATGGTTACAAATAAAATATTTATATTTAAATGTCATATATTATAAATAAATAAAGGCAAATCAAACACTTGAGCTTACTTGATAGCAAGTGACAGTCTGGAAGCATCTGAGTTCTTGGCTGAAATCCGGCAAGCCAATGGTGTGGTGAAGAATTCTGTTGGTGCCATAATCATTTGTGTTTGGCCCTCCAACAACACAAATAACAGGAAGGTTCTCACTGTAAGCTCCAGCAATGGCGTTGAGAACACTAAGCCCACCCACGGTAAACGTGACAACGCAAGCCCCAACGCCACGCTCCCGGGCATATCCATCAGCGGCGTACCCGGCATTGAGCTCATTGCAGCAGCCGATGTTGGTGAGCTTCGGTTCAGCAATGAGGTGGTCTAATAGGGTTAAGTTAAAATCCCCGGGGACAGTGAACACGTCCCCCACCCCTATCTCCACCAGGCGGCGCGCTAAGTGGCGGCCAAGAGTGGAGTCAGCGGAGGCAATGGTGGACGGAGGGTGGGAGGAGTCGTGGATGGTGGCAGTACCGTTTTGAGGAGGGCAGCCCACGTTGTTGTTGGCGGGTTTTGATGAGTCTAGAGAGCCAATGCTGGTGGCCATGGTGGAAAACGGGGAGCTCGAAAGCGGGATTCGGGATTCTGGTCTTGTAGTGGAGATCAAACACACTGTTGATCGAACAAAAATGGGAGAAAAGATTGGATCTTTGTGGCTGTTGGGAGGAGGAAGGAGAGTAAGAAAGATTTATATATAGGTTTGTTTTGTACGTGAAATAAGGTGGTGGGGTTTCTTGGGAAGGGTGAAGAGACACATTCGGGGTTATGCACGGTAAAGTAATAGAGCGAGTGCTAAACTAAAGGAGAAGGAAATAATTTGTCTTTTTATTTTATTTTATAATATCCATATGATTTTATGTTCTGGTAGAAAGAAATAATTTGTTTTGTGTATAGATACTTGAAACGTTACGTAATGAAATTGTTAATCTAGATTGTACATTCAAATAAAAATTGATTGTGTCAAATTATTGTCCAATTTGTATTTCTTACCTCAAGTATTGTATTTTATTAAAGAATAAAATGGTCTATATTTCTCTCCCAAAAAACTGGGTCTAAATTTTGGTTATGGTATGTGTTTTTTCTGAACCCCATTATTAGAATCTTCAAGAACATTATATATAATTTGACAGTAATATTTTGGTAATATTACTTGGTATCCATTCACATTTTACCGTTCGAATTCTTTTTATCATGTGAAGTTAATTTGATAAGTTAATTAGGACTAATGATGGTCATGAACATGCAGAGTTTGAGAAAATGTGTTTGCCAATGGGATTATATCTCTGTGTTTATAGAGTAAGTCACGTGATGAGTGTTGTAGATATAATGAGTAATGTCTCGAGTTATAAGCTATAAGTATGCATGTTCCACTGCTAAACGTAACAATACTTTTTAAGATAAAACCCTACTGAAAGAAGGCATTTTAGCATGGCTTTTTCCATAGCTGCATGCTAGGTGAATCAGAATACACAAACTGTGAGGGTGTTAGTTCAAGGTATTTATTCGTTCTAAGATACAGCAATTTAAATTTTTACATTTCTCTGATACAAAGTTAACATAGATAAACCCGAAAAATCAAATCTAACTGTAACAGCTATCAGTTTCTGCAAGTCCCTCTAAACTTCCCACTGCTTAGTAAAACCATTGCGAGTTCGAACAAAGTATGAATTTCCTCCGTCGACACATCCCAAAATCACACGCAGGATCTTCCGATGGGTTTAGTACGCCTTCTTCCTAGAAGTCAGACGTAGTAAATCATACCAACTTCCAACAAAGAAGTATGCGGCACATTCAGAACAACATCCGGCTCTCTGCAGTTCTTGCTCAGAAAAGCATAGACGATATCTATAACAAGTTTCTTGAAAAAGGAAGATGACTTCTTTGCCTTTGCATGCGAATGCCCGAAAATGTATGTAACACCAGATTCTTTGGCTTCTAATATTCGCAGGGACTCGTCTTTGCAAATAGAACTTTCCGCTTGCCTGATACCAGGTTTTATCACTTGAAGATCACATGAAAACTGCACTGTGTTTTCTTTTTTGGTCAAGTCCATGAAAGTGCGATCTGGAGCATAAAGGGGCTCGGAATCTGCATCAGTAAACTGTCTAGAGCACCCAGTTATCGGTCTCAAAGGACCTTCTTCCTCTGTTTCTACAAAGTGCACTATACTAGACACCAATATGTTCTCAAAATCACAGGTTTCCTGTTGAAGATCCTTATAACCGTACCTCACAATGCACCGGAACAGTCCATACTCCTTTGGGCCCACCCTACTAACAAGCAATCTTTCATTTCCACTAACATGGGGAACTTGAACAGATTTGATGCAAACAAAAACCAGCACCTTGTGGAATGCAGGTAGATTAGTTACAAAGTGTCCGAAAACAGCTGGTACCCCAGTCGCCAAATTAGTGTACATGAGTCCAATTCCTGGGACCCGAACCATGCCAAGGCTCGGACCTAAGCACACTATTCTGTCGATTGAGACCTTGTTTTCAACATCAAATTGGTGTTTCATCATTGTTCCGTAGTTCCATATGTACATTACACCCATAAAGATCATAGAGAGCACAACCGGGATCCATCCACCTTCTGGGATCTTGCTGACGGATGCTGAAATGTAAACCACCTCAATTGATCCAAAGAGCATTAAAAACGCTAATGCAGTTATTATACTTTTCTTCCAGACTATTATCATCACCAGAGCCATCAAGCAAGTTGTCACAAACATTACAGCGGTGACTGCCAAACCTACCAAATTCAACAACACGATCAAAGTACATTCACATAAATACCAAGAATATCCGAGAGATAGCGGTTAGATTTATACCGTATGCATGACCCATCATGTTTGTGTCCCTCAATCCAATTGTCACGCCTAAACAAAGGCACATTAACATCCAGTTGACCTCTGGAATGTATATTTGGCCGTATATTTTACTCGAAGTATGAACTATCTTGACGCGGGGAAAGCATTTCAGTGCACAGCACTGGTTTATAACAGAGAAGGTAGCTGAAATTACTGCCTGGCTTCCAACAACAGATGCAAAAGTGGCAACTATGAACACTGGCCAAAACACAGCTTCTGTAGCAAACCAAACAATTACGGCATACATACGAAAGATGACAATTAATGATATTAACCATTTGGGTACTATGATAAGTTATTACCTGGTATGGCTTTATAGAAACTTCTTTGGATGTCTTTGTGGTGCTTAGAAAGAAACGCAGCCTCACCCATGTACGAAAGAACTAGAGAGGGATATACGAGTAATGTGAAGGCCATCTGGGATTTGATGCCAGGTACTTTAACATCAGTGTTGAAATAAGAAAGAACTAACAATCGACTGCAAAGTTACCTTTATTGAGAGCGGAGAGAAATGGCCCAAATTAGCAAACATCGCCTCTACACCTGAGATAATATTCCGGAGAAAACTAGTTTCCAGTAGCTCTGTTTAGCAGCAAGTAAACCACATTACTGCAACAGGAGTTTAGAAGAGATACCTGTTATTGAAAGAACAACTCCCGCCAAGGATACCCATCCTTCAATGCCCGTGCTTCGAAGGAACTTTAACATATAAACTGGAGAAAGGGCATGAAATATACATTTGTTCCACCGAAATATGTTGTATATTCCAATGCCACTAATACACAGAAGCCATGCTGTAACAATCGGAGCAAACATGAAAGCAACTCTGTGTGTTCCGTGATGCTGAAGGGAGAAAAGCCCCACTAAGACGACACATGAGATTATCACAACATAATCTGAAAGAAAGAAACCAAAGAGAAGTTTTACAAATGGTGATGCATAGATATTTGAAAGGTTATTAGCGGTATGAAGAAGTTTGACGTACTGTCATGGAGTCCTGTGAATTTAAGCTTAATCCCGGAGACTGCTGAAAGAACTGAAAGAAGAAATACAAATGAATCTCTGTCACAAATAATGTTACAAACTAATCGAGAACTATCAAACTCTAGTTGAATTAGAAGTCTTTCTAAAACACCAACAGATGCTTGTTTGGAGTTGGACTCGTAATTGAACAAGCTCTAAGAAAGGGAGGAATTTAGCTCTGTCATACGTGCTTTAGGTATAATGTGTATTTCTAACCATTCATATGTCACAAAATTATCATATACATCCATGTTCTGAAGGATATTATGCTTACTCAAAAGTCGAAACCATTATCTTGAAAAGTTAAGATGAGCTAGCCTAGGATTTGAAAAGTTCAGGGAACGGAACTTGTATGGGGAAAAAACATAAATATCACTATAGAGGATTTTGTTAGGACTAGCCCACCTGATATTGCAGGAGTGAGTACACCATCACCAATTGCCATACAGGTTCCAAATAGAACAAAAACCAGCAGCCCTTTGCGAAATCTTGGATGCTTGTCAAAGAATGATTTCAGAGCTGAACTCTGCCATGTTTCTGCGGTTCCTTCCGTCACATATTCAGACAACTTCTCATCTGTGATTTCTTGATTTGGCAGAATGCTTAATCTTGCATGACGACAGAGGAGGGAGTACAAAGCAAAGGTACCGCCTGCACCATGTGTACAAAACTGGTATTGAGAAACCGTCTTTTTGCCATCCAATTACATTTTTTTTTCTACAAATCATTTGGAAAATTAGATGAGATCAAGAACAGTAAAAAATGACAAGAAAAAGGAGATCAGCAGAGTGTTTTTCTCAGTGTTGAAAACAGTATTGTAGAATGCAAAGCCGAACCAACCATTCAAAAGTGACTGGAAGGTTGAATGAACAGCCTAATAATTTGCGTCATAAGATCAATCGGGTAACTTAGCATTGTCATCAGACAACATCACAATGAAAACAACAAAACTGTACCTTCACCATTGTCATCAGCCAACATCACAATGAAAACATACTTGAAGAGCGCAATTAGAGTAAACGTCCAGAAAATAAACGAAAGGACGCCAAAAATCTCTTCATCATCCTCATAAAGGCTCAACTTTCCGGAGAAGGTGGTCTTATAAACATAGAGAGGGGATGTACTTAGGTCACCATACACCACTCCCAGACTTTGATAAGCCAATGTGAGCACAGTTGTACGGGATACCCTCTGCAAGACCCGATTCAAGACAACATTATAAACATACATTCGAAAAATTCAACAATTTAGAAACATCAAAGAAGGTCAATTAGTACAAAAGAGCCCATAAAAGTTCATGACCCTATGGTTCAGCAGCTACTTTGAAGACTAAATTTATTTTTTCGGGGTTTTATGCGTGTCCCCAATATTTTTTTATCTGGCTGCGCAAATTATGAACAACGACGAATAGCGTAAATCCTTAAAGACCATTTACACTACTTCCCTTCGCCAAGATGTGAATTCCATTGAGAAAACAGTAAAAGATGCAAAATTTGTACAAATTAAAAGGAATTTAATTTACCCAAAACCCAGAAATAAAAAATTCAAAACTGGAAGCCCCTCTTCTCACATTCTCAAATGTCCTGGTTCCACAGAAGCTGCTGCTCCAGATGTACATTTTACATTTGCATAAGAATTTGCAAAATCTCACAAACTCTGAACAGAAAAATTTCACTAAAAACTATTTGTCCAAGAGAAGCTCCAAAAATGGCTGACATTCATAAGTCTGTCGATATCAAACACTTAAAGTTTACCAAAATCACCATCATGAAAGCAAAGAACTAATTATCAAAGAACAATATTAGGAAGAACAAAAGAGAGTGAGAGAGGATGAAGGATATATATACCCGTGGAGATATTCCCTGTTCCATTAGTTCTTCAGATGGGTTCATTGTAGAGAGAGAGAGAGAGAAAGAGAGAGAGAGAGAGAGGGAGGGAGAGGGAGATGCAGTGCAACTGTGCAAGAGAAGTGACTGACTGAAGAGGAAGAAAGGCTGGCAAAGCGTATATAACGCAGAGAGAGAGAGAGAGAGATAGAGAGAGAGAGAGAGATGTCGAAAGTGAGGGGCAGTAAGTTGGACTACGCAATTGTCGTGTTGTGCGTCCTAACTCCAAAGAATTTGCAAAAGGCGTTCAACGGTCCTTTACCTCTCTTCGTTTCCAAATTTTTGACCAAAACAACTCTGAATCTGTATACGTTTGAATGAAGTGTCGTACTCGTGTTCTTTGCCCAAAGTCTTAATCCATACTCTGTATATTACAATAGTTTAGAATAAAAAAAAATATCCGTCCTCTTATTTTTAGTTCAAATTTCTTATTCGCATACTAAAATAATATAAGAGGATGCATTAGAGTGAGATTTTGATGGATTTTAAAAGAGTTCATAAATCTGTTTGCATGCAATGAAGATTTTAAATGAATCTGTCAAATTCTAGTGGTATTCATTCTTGATTTTCAAAGAATTTGTAAAAATTTGGTGGTATTCAATCTCGAGTTTTCTTAAAATGTTCCAAATTCTGGTTGCATTCAAAATTTAATGAATTTAGAGGAATTTAGGAGTCAAAGGAATTTAGTGAATTCTAGAGTGGAAAATATAAATATAAAAAATCCTCACAAACTATGCCTCTACCCTAATATTTCATCGTGATTCTTCCCACTACAAAATATGATCAGACTTGGATATGAACTAACTCTTCTTTGAAGCAGAAATGTAAGGGTAAGACGCCCAAAAATCTACAAATTTCTTTTTCCATTTTTCTGTCTTCTATGGCCAAATCTTTATCTCTTTTCTCTTCAAAGAAGACAACAAGTAATCAACAATTTTTTTTGTCTTCTCCTCATGGCCAATTTTGATTATTATTTGTTTTAGAGAACCCTAAAATCTATATAAATCCATGAATGTCAATAATTCCAAAAGTCTATACAAATCCATTACAATTTATAGACTCCATGAAAGTATATAATTCCGTTAAAATTCATGAAAAGCTCAATTGAATTGCACAATTTGAAGGCCTATTGATTTTAACAACTGATTGCCGAGTTAATTATTTGGATAGTAAGGGTGGAGTTGTAATCCAAAAGGATTCTCTCCGGATCCTTATGGTGAGGATCTTTGAGATCTGTAAATTTATGTTCATCGTACATCCTACAGTCAGTTTTTGTCAGATACTGCTTGTATTTAATTTTAAATAAAAATATCTAAAATGATTTTTAACTGCACGATATACGATAAACAGATATGATTCACAGATCTCTAGAATCCTCACAAAAAGAATCCGTTTTCGAGTTGGAATTCCATTCTAACTAAAGATTCATGTGGTTTCGGAGGATTCATCTCATAAAACAACGCATTGTTAGAACCAATACAAAAAAAACTCAAATTTACATCCTTTCATCCAATAATAAATAACTTTATATTTCTTCCTAATATTTTGAAACAACTCACTCTACTAAACGAATATTTTATAATTTTTTCGCCACAGCTGTATGGATAGCTTAATGATAAGTGTCAAAATCGGAAAACATCGTAACATGATTAAATAAAATATAAACCCACGAACACCCAAACAAAATATTTAAATAAGCAATGTGATAACATAATCCACATCCATGGGTTTATTCATATTGGATTCCATACAAATCATTATTTTAATTTTTTGTTTATAAAGGGGAATAACAGACTGGTGGCAAGTTACTGTTATCCAATTTTTTTGGATTTGAAGAGGTTATGAGAAATTTTATTATGCTCGTAGCCACAATCAAGTAAATTCACCAGCTCGGAGTATGAACGTGAGACCTCCCATATTTTCTTTGTTTTATTAGGAAGCTATAGTCTGTGCACTTACCATTAGACTACTTGTTGTGGTTTATACAAATAATTATTTAATTATGTGTTTTAGCTTCAATATGACTAGGTTAGTGAAACTTAACACATATTATACAACCACTAATAGGTGGTTTAGTAGTTAGGGGCGGATTCTAGGCCAATTTTTACACAGCATGTTTTTGGTTTGATTCTTGACCTTGGTGAATCACACAATAACTCTTTGATTCTTCCTAACTCTCAAAAAAATGAAATACTATCGCAAATCCTCCAACTGCTCATTTTTTTCCTAAAAGAGAAAAAAAACACATATTATAGAACCATTAATTGCTTACAATCGTCATTTAGTATTACGGTTTAGAAGTATTTATCTTCATATGTAAGTAAGAGGTCTTAAGTTTAATTTTTGCTAAAAACGAATTTAAATCATATTATGATTAGTTCATTATAAGGTTAAACTTATCTCTTCTACCGACTAAAGAAAATTTCGTTTTTTTTTAAATAAAAAAATAAAGGCTTACAATTATGCGAGTGAGAGTAGTCAATTTCAGTCACCCTGGATTTGACTGACAAATAGCCATCATGATCTCATGGTGTGTACAGTTTAATTAGGTAGAAAGTCGATTAGCCTACTTAAAATATATTTGTTAGTCCATGAAAAGTATGTGACTTCAAATTATTGTTGTCCGCATGAGAGTCGATCTTGAAGATAGAACAATCCATCACAACATTTCGGGTGCGGTAACGGATTTAGAATTCGAATATTGGGTGATTCTAATATTAAATATAATTTTTTTATAAAGAAATAGAGCGTAAAGTGTACAAAAAAAAAATTAGTTTATTTAATAACACATTTCGTTGAACACTTGATGGACTTATTTTTATTAGTTAAATCATGTTGAGCACATGTTAACAAATATTGACATATGCCGAAGCAAACTAATCAGTGATATAAAGAGAATTTGTCGAGTGTTATCAACATACTATCGAGATATACCTAGCAGACATTACATTAAACACTTTCATACAAAAAGGATCCATACCAAATACTCAAAGGATCCTCAAATGATCTTCACATGTATATTTTTCAAACTCGGTGATCTGGGAACCATTGGTTTCAATATCCATCCGTCCCTACTTGTGTGCAATAATAAATCTTTGGAGTCTCGTGAGCTACAAGCTCCTTGCATCTTCCAGATCACTGAAAATGAAAGATCATTAGGTGGGAATCATAATTGTCAAAATTAGGCATATCAATTTTCCTTGTCAAAATTCCGGTAATATGGTATAAGTAGGAAAATAGTTGGACTTTTATATTTTGAAGTAAAAGGTCTTAAATAAATTCTTTACACTACCAAGTTTCAACTATCAGTTTAGGCACCTCCCATTGAATCTAAGTTTTGACTCACCAAGGCTAGCAAATTAGGTTCAAATTGGGCATCCTCCCATACTCCTCAATTGACATCAACATGCCCTCTAAAAGATTCAAATCTCATGCGAAAGTATTTCACTTCTCACTTGCCAAGTGCATTGGTAGTCAGTTTTTATGAATAGAGACATTGGCAGGGCTAAAACGTAGATGCAACGAGTTGTATATTCCTTTGTGTTTGTCTCTCTCTTCATGTAATAAGTAACGTGATAATCAAAATAGACGCATGGAATATATATCCCATTCATAAGTCTATCTCTAGTTGGAAGTTGTATCCATTATTGAAGTACATTATCTTCTAATAGCATAAGATGCTAGAACATAATGTTACTTATCCAAAATAGAATGAAAAAGGAGATATGATGCTCTCTCTCTCTCTCTCTCTCTCTCAAGTTAAACCCAATGTTGACTAATCTAGGAAGATGATCAACTCCAAATTAACATAATTGTCCTATCATTTGGTGTAAGATGCATAAGTTTGAAGCGAGATATCATCTTTACCTTAACTACCAAATCCGATGGCTTTGTTCATATATCTTCTGGTCCAAAGTAATGGCAAAAGAAATGGGTTCTAGCCGTACGATGTCACATTACATGATGGGAAGAAATGATAGTTAAAGCTCTTTTGGACTAAAAATATGAATGATTAAGAACCGTATATGGTCATCGTCTGCATGCCCTTGACTCCACAACAACCATATCTTCTTTGTTTGTTCCTCTCACCATTATTCAGTTCCAACCGTACATTGTCTTAATCATTGTTAGTACATACATTGCATGAGAACGAGAGGGGAAAATAATTTGCTCATTAATCATTATGTATCAAGAGCAATTCTTGTTTTAGATAAATTACAATTTGACATGTGTACGTATCATTGTCAATTTTGAAAATATGCAAGTAGTATTATAGCACAGAACGCCAAATTTGGAAAGGCAGGCAGTTTCAAACCCAAAACCACTAGGTAGGAGAAGGGTCTAATCGCCGCACTACACTTGACAGTTGCTTGGAGCTTCGCTCATGGCTCCCAAAATTCCAGGATCAGGCTTCGTATTTGTGATGATTCTATATGTATAGGGGTGTGTTCAGTGTTTGTCAAACTAAAATTTTCATGTAATTAAGTATCCATGATGCACGTAACGTCCCCTTAATGAGACGAGAGTCGTCAAGAATTAATATAGTCGGTAAAAGAAGAGTAACAATGAAAGAGAGAAAGGTACAAGCACGCATATGTTTGGTATGCTTTCAACGTCAAGTATTTATAGATTTGTCATACAATGTGTGTCCCCTCCCCGCAATTGTGATTTGGATTGAAATATGCCATTGCCATGCTTGGCCTTTGGAGATTGGTAGGTCAATTGGCTTCTCCCGACTCGTCCCGTCTTCCTCTTTCAAAGGACAAGCACACGAGAGGAAGATGATGTTGATCTTACAATAATACCCTCATACTCCCCGTATAATTACTCTATGTGTCTCAATTCAATGGATTCTAATAGTCATCATCATTCACTATCAAGCCCCACGTGCATATATCCGGCATAACTAAATTGATATTTTTGTACTCATGTTTTAGTGGATAAGATGTGGATTTTCTATCCATGTCTTTCAGGTTTGAAACTTCGCATCCTTTAAATTATTGAAATAATTTTGAACTCTCATTTTCCCCCTAATAATACTAAAATTTAAAAGAAAATAAAAGAACCACGATGCCTTGCATATACCATCGTTTGGTGATTAGTATTGAATTAGATATGATAGCTCATAAAATATAATGTAATTAAGACATGAGAAATTTTAGTTGAAGCCATTTGTCTCGTCTTTACCCCGGCTTCAAAACTCATTTAATAAAATTCCAAATGTGCCTTGAAATAAATAGAAAGAAATTCAAAACAATTAGAATTTGTATACTGTTTTTATCGATAATAGTCAAAATTTAACACCTAATTTCATAAATGTCAATTTTTTTTATAAAATCTTTCAAAAATGACAAAAAATCCACTTAAATAGACTTAAATACCCTTAGAATTAAAACAAAATAAACATAAAGTAAAAAAGTCTGGGTTAGCCAAGAACCAAGGACCATAAGCAATAAGATCTACACAACCCTCAGCCACATCATCGTTCCCAACTTCCTTGCCGTAACCGCCAACAGCAAAAATTGCTGCCAACAATGAAGGTACCATTAAAAGCCTTTCTCATGGGTACAAGATTGTGGGGGGAATCACTCTTTTTCTCCTACTGTCTTCATCGTGGCTCAACCATATGGCAGTATGGGATCCTATATTTGAACAATGAATTGGCCAGATAAAGGCCGAACATTTTCGAAGCGGTGTCCTAAGCAACCGAACTTCAACACCAGCAGCAACAATGGAGATCGATCTCGTGGCATAAGGTAAAAGCAAGAAGACGAAGTGCACTACACCCAAGTCCGATGATATCTATCTCAAGCTTCTTGTCAAGCTGTACCGATTTCTTGTCCGAAGGACTAGAAGCAAGTTGAATGCAGTCATTCTTAAGCGTTTGTCAACAAGGCACCCTTTCTCTCTCGAGGTTGATTAAGTATATGCAGGGAAAGGACAACAAGATTGTTATGGTTGTGGGGACTATTACCGATGACATTAGAGTTTATTAAGTTATGCAATTGAAGGTTACAACATTGAGGTTCATTGAGATTGCGGTAGTAGGAGAGTGTTTGACATTTGATCAGCTTGCTTTGAGAGCACCATTGGGTCAGAACGGGGTTTTCCTCAGAGGTCCTAAGAATTCTCGTGAAGCACTTCTATGCAAATGGTTTTGAATTTTGAGGATATTTAGGTCTATTCATATGAGTTTTCTGATATATTTGAATTTTTTTTATATAAAAAGTGACATTTATGAATTTGAATATTAAATTTTGGTTATTAATGATAAATACTCATGCGTATATGCTCTAGCCAACCCCACTGGGAAAACACAAAGGGAGGCTTTCACGCTCCCTGACAAGCCACGACACCCTTTTTTTTTTTTTCGGCAAACACAGTTGAAGCTCCAACAATCCAATTAATGCTCTCCTTTATCTCTTTTTTGTTTCCGTATGCGAACTTGGGTCCAATCAATCGGGAAAGAGAGGCGGGTGTGAATTGGTGTTGACGGAGAAGTGCGGAGTCATGTTCGACGCCACCGATGGCACCAAAAGGGAAAGAGAGGCGGTTACGATATGAGGAAGGAGGAGAAAGAGAAAGAAAATAATGGAAGGAGTTGATAGTTGTTGATGACCTTGGGGATAAATTTTAGCGGAAGAATTCCGTTCAGCAACAGGCTGAGCAATAGCTCGTCCGATGTGAAACCCAAACAAGACTAAAAGAAAGAATTAAATGTCATCATAAGAGCATGCGATTTTCGCACTCTTTTTTTTCTTCCGTTCAAAGGAAACAAATCTAAAGCATGTTTACGTAACTATAATAGGAATCAAAACATGAAATTAAATTCTGATTACGGGGAGGAAACGAATCAGTTAGTCTATGACGCGTTTACGTTGCCATAGATGATGTGTTTCTAAAATTTAGATCAAAGTTTTTGGCAAATGGTAATGAGCTTTCTAGATTATATATATGTAACATTCCACATCGTCCAGATGAGTGATCCTTATATGTATATTGTCATTCCTACCTAGTACGAGGTCTTTTGGGAGCTCACTGGTTTCGGATTCCATTGGAACTCCAAAGTTAAGTGAGTAGAGCGCGCAAGCAATCCCATGATGGGTGACCCCCTAGGAAGTTGCTCGTAAGTTCCCAAAAATAAAACCGTGAGGAAATGCTAAGCCCAAAGCGGACAATATCATGTTACGGTGATGGAGCAGACCCTAAAGTGATCTGCCCCAGGCCGAGATGTGACAATATATGTGTGTGTGTAAAATGGATTATCATGCATATCCCAAAAGGATAAAGAATGGAGTAAAAAATTGCGTTCCTAGGTGTCAAAGAAGTCAAATAAAATAGAAGCGTGAGTTAAATTAGTTGGCTTACACTATCTCATTAAATTTGATTCTCTTGTAGTAAATTAGAGTAATTTAAAATATCAACACAGTAAATCAAAAGTTAAATGAAGTATTGGGTGAAAGATAACAAAGTGAACCATGTGCAGAAACTTCCAAACGTGCAGCCTTACAATTTGGTTTTTAGTCATTCGATTTAGGTCGGTTGTTTGTCGGAGAGTAGTGCTGGGTCCAGTCAGTTGATGGAATCATTTTTCATGTTATTTTAATAGGTTTGATCAGGTTAAAGACAACATTTACTTACGTTTCTCTTTTCTGTTTAAGTAAATTTTAGCAATGATTTTTTATTTTTAATTTAATTAGATCAATGATTCTTCAAATAAAAATTCATTACTATTGATGTTTCAACTCATCAAAACGTACATATATGATTCTTCAATTAAAAATTCATTACTATTGATCCATCAACTTTAATCCAACTAGAGAAATTATCCCTCAACTTTAACCCAATTGAATCAATTGATCATCAATTTTAACCCAATTGTAGCAATTGTTTTTCCAACATAACTCATTTTGACAAAATTCTGATGAAAATGACTATAGCTACATGTTTTGATGAGTTGAGGGACCTCAATTGTTGCAATGGTCATTTCAACATAATTTATTTTGACAAAATTTTAACGAAATTAATGAAAATGATCATAGCTACCCATTTCGATAAGTTGATGAACTAATGATAATGAACTTTTAGTTAAGAGATTATTGTTCTAATTTAATTAAAATTGAATAACCATTGCTTAAATTTACTTTACTATTTTATCCATCAAATATTAGACTTTTGGTGATCTTGTTGATGAACAATGAACAGTGAACAATCAACGACAAAAGGTTGGACAGCGACTATCCACTGTAGTTGCAAGCATTGCATTGGCAGCATGCAAAGGAAAGGAAATGACTTTTCGGGGAGGGTTGCCCACGTTGGATTTCCCGAAAAATCCTAAATTTTCATGATTTCCCCACTTTTCTGTTTCCTTTTTTTTTTTTCCCCCCAAAATTCCACTTAAAGTTTCTGCTGTTTCTCTCATCGGCCCCAGTTTCCTTCTTTCTTTTCTCTGAAGCCTCGAAACTTCTCTGGCTGACTGTAACAAACATGGTTCTTTTGAGTAGTCAGCTATACAGATTGCCGCTCTGCGTTTTGCCTCCTCGGTTCCGATCTCCCACCGTTTTTCTTCCCCAAAAAGGTATTCAGAATTTCATTTCTTCATCTTTTCAATTACCAAAAGTGATTTTTTTTATTTTTTTTGGTTGTTTGTATGGCATTGGCATTGGCATTCATATGGGTTTTCTTCGCATGGGATTTAATTTTAGAAAAACTAACGAAAGGTCTGAAAAAATTCTTTAACTTTAAGGAAAAATGACAAATAAAGGTTTAATGAATAGTATTATACATAAAAATATAGTTTTTTTTATTAAAAATGTGCAGGACCGGTGTGTTTCGGTAAAACTCTCTTTATTTTATTGATTGGTAATGGACTAGTAATGTTATATTATGCCCTCTGTCAACGATAATCTGGCTTCATTGTAGAAGTCGTCCTTGCATTTTCGTCTCTGAATTCGAATGTTAGATTCTTTGGTCTTCAAATTTAGTCCAAGGTTTACACTCCTGGTCATGAAAGCAAACTAATTTGGGGCATTTGGTTGGTGGTAACTTTTGAAGCTTTGTTTTTGGGTTAATCTTCGTGTGTTTCTTAGATATTTGTGAACTGGCTGGTGCTTGAAATTGTGAACTGTTGATTGTAATGTGAACCGAGAGATTTCAGGTTTTTAACTAATTGGGTAGTGCCAATTCTTTGATGGAAGTGTGAACTTGTTGGTAGACAAAGGGGCCGCGTATGGAGAGGAAGTACGGTGCTAGGGGAAAGGGAGTAATCAAGATGAGTACTTTTCGTGAGGAATTTTTCTGGGTTTGATTCGCCTTTCCTCTTCAGACTGGCATACTGAATTTCTGAGATTCTATATACTTTGGCTCAAATTGTACTGTTATTCGTATCTTCAATGAAATGGTCTACTTAAAGTAGTAATAAATGGCTTTCGCATGCGTTGCTTGTTTAAAAGTATGCGTTCTTCCTGTAGAGTAGGAATTTACTCATGAAAATTAGTTGATGTCTGATGCCCTATACATAAGTTCTCCTGGCTGAGCTCCGTTTCATAATCCTTATAAACTGTTAGGCAGGTACGGGACCATGATACAGGATTATAAACATTTAAGTTTTGAACGCAGCATATAATATTTTGTATGAAAAGCTTCCGACTTCTATCTGAAGCATATTGTGATAATACCATACTCTGTAACTGAGGGAAATTGTTATTTGTAGTACATTTGCTGATGTCTGTATTTGTGCAATGTACTGTATGATACATACATGGGGCAAGTGTTGAAGCACAGTTATTCTGAATTTTAGTGCAGACGAGCCATATGATGCTAACGTTGATGATACTTACCAGGAAATTAATGCCATGCCAATTTTGGTGGATCAAATCTTTGTCTTTACATGCAAGTAGTTTCATAGTACACAACAGAGGTGAGAATATTGTATGTATGCTTTATCATTTGTGAAAGCAAGGTATTGGTAACTTATATTCTTTCATGTTTCACTTACGTTTATTCTTTTTACAGCGAAATGTGAGGCCAGTTCTCAAAGGGCAGAAAATAAGCTAGATTCCACTGTGTATATAAATGTTGCAGATGATTTGAATGACCAACTCTTTTATACAGACCAAATTAATATTTCTCAGGTGAGCATTAGATGGAAATTTATTTATTTATCTGTTTAATTTCTAACAAGAGCATTAGATGGATGAATCTGCATAAGAGATTGTAATTTATTTTTTTAAATTTGAAAAAGAACATATCTTGAATTAGAATTGATTAAATCAGATAACAGCTTAAACCCCTTCGATGTTCCTCTATTTAGTGGTTTCACCTCTTATCAAGTATTTGTATCCATGACAACTTCAGATCTTGCATTTGACTCATGTCATGGCACTTCTAGTATTTAGTAAATTTCTTGACAGAATTTTCTGTATATGCAGGTTCTCGTAGCTAAAGTCATGATGGGATTGCTGTCCTTATATTTCTCAATTAGGCTAGGACAATCAAATGTTTTTCATACTTTCATTAAGATCGTCCAAGCAAAACTTCCCTCTATCATTCAAACTTTCGGGGCTGCCACCTTGCCCTTTTCCTGTATTTCTAATTCATTGAATAAACCTGTGCCTCTTCAGTTGGATGTGTCTGTTTCTTCATTTCGAGACATTAGATGGAGCTTTGCACTGTTACTGTATCTATTTAACATCCAACTTGAAAAGAATGTTGCCGCATAAGTGAAGATATCAGATGGAGCTTTGCATGGTTTCTATATCTATCATTTCATGCTTGTAATAATTTGTTTGGTCTATGTTCTCATTTAGTTAAGTTCTTTTGTAAATGTTTTTTAGGTTCTTTCTGGTGCTCCTGGTAGCATGCTTCTCATTTGTTGTCATTGGTGGTTTCCTATTCTACAAGTATAGGTAACCTATAATCCTTTCTAAGAGCAGTTCGAATTACTTTCTCTGGCATATTCTGCTTCATGTTGCTTTATTGTATTTCATTAAATAGCGTTTTTTTTTCCTGGTGTCTAGACTATCAGATTGATACAATCATTGGCCCATTTATAACAGCTGAAGTTTTCTAATATGGTATCACCATATCAGAGCTTTGGTGGTAGCAGCTTAGCAGGGGGTCCTGGATGCGGAACCCTCAATCCATTCCCCACTTCTTTGGTGCAGGGTGGGGTTTCATCTATATTTTTCTTTCTGTTTGATTTTAACATACAAAGAAAGAACGCGTTTGTGTGAGGGACAGTGTTAGATTGATATACATTGCTGACCAATTCCCTAGCAGCTTAAGCATTTGGGGTCCATAGTTGTCTAACACAAATGAATTTCTGAAACAATATGGTTTCATCATTTTCTTGCCGTCTTCTTCACAAGGGTCTCAGCATCTTAGACCAACAATTATTTTGTATTCTAACACTCCCCGTCAAATGCAGGCGTCTCTTCACTATTAAAGCCCAACATCTGGAATTCAACTTATATTGGTTACACTTGCAGGATTTGACCAGGATTTCCTGCTTTGATACCATGATAAAGTTTGTTGTTACCACACTATTCCGAAAAATTTAAGTTGTTACGATGTGGGCTGACAAATATTTGATATTCTAACGGTCAAGCAGTCTTTTAATAATATTTTTATCAAATGAATTAATTACTCATGTTTGTTTACAATCCGGATGCATTTCAAATTATACAGGGGTAGTAATGAGTCTTTGGAGGACTGCTTCTGGGAGGTTTGGGCATGTCTGTGTTCATCATCAACACATTTAAAAGTGTGATTTCGCTTCCTAATTTTATCATTTGGTTCATTCTAAAAGTTTTCACTAATTCTCTGTTTTCTTGGATGATTGTAAATAACATGCTTTGTAAAATGTACACTGCAGCAAAGAAGACGCATTGGACGTGTTATTGGTTTTGTTCTTGCAATATGGGGCAAATTATTTTACTCTCGCTTGTTGAGCACAATGAACGAACAGTTCAGGGTAAGTTCTTGGATCATGGAACATTATCGTACATCTAACTTATATGTAAACGGCATCCTTATGGCCATCATTTGCTCGGAACAATATGTACAGACTAAAAGAAGGCGCACAAATGCAAGTTCTGGAGACTGATCGTATCATTATTTGTGAGTGAACAGTCATCTTTCCTTTATACTAAAGCAACTAAACCAGTATCATGAACTTGCTGTCCGCTTACGTACTGCTACAGCTAGGTAATCTATTTCTTATACTCGAATGGAGGTTTTCATATCAGGATTGTGTAGTAAAATTACTGAATTGTGTTGTTGTTCGCTTATATGTGCACAGGAGGTAGAGAATTCTTCTTACGTCCAATCTCCCAAGAAAGCAGATGGACAAGCTCTCAGACAATTTAGACAAAGATCTTATACATATTGATATCCTTACAAAGAGGTAGGACTATAAGAAATCATCTAACACATCTGCGTCTGATTTTTTAAGGCCTTGGTGCAAGAAAATAAAAAATTATCAGTAAGAAATGATGTAATGGGTAATTTGATTTGATAATAAAATTGAGACTTTTTGTGCTTCTGATTCTTACTTTGGGGCTCTACACTTACAGTTGCAGCCTTAATTTAACAAAATCATTTGAAAGAGCCGCTGCCAACAAGGCACATGCAATAATTATACTGCCAAGGAAGGGAGACCGTTGAGAACTTGATCTACTTTTACTTCTATGTGAGAAATTATATTAGAGTATACAAGGTTTTCAACGAAGTTTCTTTGGAATTTCCTAGTATATTAGAAATTTACTCATCTCTCAAATGTGTTTTGACTTCACATCCTCATCTGTTTAGGTATGAAGTTGACACTGATGCTTTTTTTCTTCTGTTCTGGCTCTTCAGCCTATTCCCAACTTCGAATCTGTCCGCACAGTTGTTGAGGTATCTCACTAATCTAGTCTTCGTACTGAACTTTGTTATGAAGTTTGCTAAAATCATGTTAAATTTTCCGTCCCCAATGAATGCAGGTTTCATTAAACCGCGTATTTAACTATGCCTGCTTTTTTTAGGACAGGATATCGGCCTCTACATTAAAGAAGGAGAAAACCCTTCATTCTCTTAGCTTTCTGAAAGAGCAAAACTGCGGAAAGAAGTGGCAATAGGTTATGTGAAAAACAACAAGAACGTAAAAACGTCTTGATTTGGATTCGGCTCTTAAATTGCTTCAGACTTCTCATTCATATCTTATGCCATGTTGCAGGTTATTAATCCAGTTCCCAAGTCTGAACCCCTCTCCCTTGAGTTGACAGATTCATTGATGGTTATATCCGAACTTGAAGGAGAACAACCTATCATTCTGGAGAACCAATCAAGTTGAAACAACGGCCCAAATTTTGCTCGTGAAAGTTTGAATCCCATGCTAAATGGAAGTACTCATGTTTTGACAGTGAAAGTGTTCTCCGAGCTTGACCATAGAACCGGCATTAAACCAGCAAATCGGTGAAGAGACTGTTTGAGCTTCTTTCTTCTGCAGTATTAGCCTCTCTTTTGTTGTTAAGACCGTACCATTGATACAGAAACCACAATAATAAATGGAAATTTGTCCAATAAAGAAAATCTGGATTAACAGTAATAAGCATTATTAGCCATGTTAATTATACCTTGATATTGTCCTTATGTTCGAAATTTACAGTTCCGTCTAACTGTTGTAGTAATATGTCTCTTTCCGACGCTGGAAGACGTCCTAAGTTTGTGGGTTGAGTATGCCGTAAGGTACGCATTTTAGTAAGAAGTTAACTATAGCTGGCCACTTGTATAATGCTCTTTTAGCAACAGATCAAAGTTTGAATAGAGTCTCGTTCTTTTGGTCACCTGATGACGAAGGATTGATGGTCACTCACCTTTAGATTTGATACCAAGAATTGAGATTAAAACAATAAAAACACGTCCATTTAATCTCAACGTTTGGTATCAAAGTCAAATGTGAGTAAGCATGAATTCCTTGGTTACCAGATAAGTAAGAGAAGATTTTTGTAGTGACGAAGAGAACATTCTGAGTCTGAGTAACAAAGGGTGATCCAAATCTGAATGCTTGATCCATGCACCACTATATTGTCAAATCTCAAATAAGACCATGTCTAATGTTATGTGTTAAGAATGATATGAGTTTCATGAGAATACAACTAAGCTATTTGCTTATAACAATCAATCAAATTCCACATAAAACAATAAAATCCGATTAAAGAACGTCGTTACTAATGAAAATATTAAGCATTCCAAGGTTTCAAAATGATATGATGCTTATTATAGGGATTCAATTCGTATATCGTAATACGCTTGAAATAATTTCACTATGAAATTGTTTGGCAGCTCATATAAGAGACTGAATATGATTAATAATACAGACTCGGTTGTTCGGTAGATTTATATTCAAAAGTACTTGGATAATTTAGGATATTGCTATTCATGGTATTTTTACCCTCTACACACCTTTTTTTTTTTATTATTATTTTTTTTTTTTAACAAACAATGGTATCTACACTAAGGATAGAGGAGTGAGGTAAGTCTTACAATGTGTTTGTCATAATCATGTGATGCAACTTCACATTTGGTAAGAATCAAACCTAAGACTTTTCACTTACAAGTGAAAATGAATACCACTAGACCGTAGTATTAAGTGGCCCCACACTCTCTTGTTAATCATTAATTTTCTTCAATTAATTCGATCAGACAGCTAGAAATTGAGAGAGTATGTGGACAGTAAAAATAGGGGTGTGGATAGCACCACCCAAAATTATATTTAAAGAATTATAAATATTAATGAGTGGTTTCATTCATTTTAACAATGTATTTCTTTTATATAAATTAATTGCGAATTCACCATTTATAAGGTTCGAACATTAGACATCTTACTTACAAGGAAATTAATGAAAAATACTTGAAACTTTTGAGTTTTAAGGAGAATGACAAAATAAAGGATAAAGTAGTATAAAATTTATATTTTAGTGTAAAAATGTGATTTTTTTTTTTGTTAAAATAAATAGTACCGGAGCTTTTCATTAAAGTTATCTAAAAAAAAATTCCAAATTTTAGACCAATCTCTAAATAGGGATCAAACTTTTAGTTACTACATCCTGTGACGTAAATACTGGAATGGCCAGTTATCGGTTGCCACGCGTGCCACAATACAATGAACTCTTCCATCCTCAATACGTGGCGAATTTCAATTAGTCGTTCTCAAGATTCAAGGACACCGGCAGTGACTTATATCATGCCTTACCGTTGAGAGAAGAAGCGCTTATTTGAGCGTTGCACGACGGCCACAAAATCGAAGATAATCCAAACCAGAAATGGCGGTGTGCTCTTCACTCTCGGCTGTCTCTCCTTACGCAGTTCCCAAACTGAGCTCGAAGCTGTCGGAATCTAGGGCGATGGTTTCTCGGAGTACTCAGACACATAGGACCTCCGAATTGTACAGAAGCTTGGGGAAGACAAGGTTGAGTACCAGGCTGAGTGCAGCTGGGTTCGCGGAGATTGAGCCCGATCTCCGCGAAGACCCCCATGATCGTTGGGAGACTAACAGTATCAGCATGGTATAAACTATAAACGCTCACTGACTGTACAAGTTCATGTGATCATATGAATGTATCATGATTAGTGATTAATTAAGTATGGTTAATTTTGCAGGATGATTTTAAGTTCGGGGAGTATGATGACCACCACACTTACCACGAAGGCGAAGAGAAGAAGGGTACCCTGTTTCTATGAGTTAGCGCACTTAGTGGCGGGTAGTCTAACATTTTATGTTATTAAATTATTCGTGCCCAGAACCGTGATTTGTTTCTGCAAACTCTCTTATCCAGGAAGCTTTTGGGGTTCAATAGCAGAAGACATTGAAGCGGTTGGAACCCCTACAGGTTTTCAGGGTACATGCGAATGCTTACCAGACAACTTTGATCATTCACTAACCTACATTACAGCAAACGAACATTATCTGTTTTGGTTGTTTCGGCAGGTCTTATATCGTGGCTTTTTCTCCCTGCAATTGCTGCCGGAATGTATTTCAACGCTCCGGTAATGCCAATTGTTTTGCATTCGTTAACATGATGGTCTTGTTCATCGTCGCATAGGAAATCATATCCCAAATGCATTGTTTTCCAGGGGGAGTACTTGTACATTGGCGCCGGTCTGTTTACAATTGTGTTTTGCATCATTGAGATGGATAAGCCGGACAAACCCCACAACTTTGAACCCCAGATATACAACATGGAGAGGGGAGCTCGTGACAAGCTGATAGCGGACTACAACACCATGGATATATGGGATTTCAATGAGAAATATGGAGATCTGTGGGATTTCACTGTGACTGTCAAGAAGGAAGATATTATGAAGAGATAAAAATTCATGTGTAGTAAATTCCGCCGTAATTAATATGGGATTTCTCAAGTTCTCAACCAGCTTGAGCATGAAAGGTATATAGCTATCAATTCAGTCCTCTTTCTGTTGCTTCCTTTCTTTCTGCATCGGCTTTTTTACTTTCTTGTTTACATATTAGGCTTAGGAATTGAAATTTAGAAGGGAATGAGAACATATATATAATTTTGTCATATATTATTGGATGGTGTATTAAAGAAATAATGTGGTTCATCATGGTGACCATGTAGAGCAAAATCCAATAACAATGATAAATTATTTCATGTTCTGCTCACCAAAGAAGCCAAATAGAAATGTGCAGTTGACACGAGTTTAGCTAAGTTAGCTATGCTTCTCTCTTTTGCATCCGATTTTGACTTCCCTTCCTCGTATTTTAATTGAATTTAGTGTAGAATGATAGAAATAAATAGGCATGAAAAGGTTATGCACACATTTTTTCAACGTTTACACTTTTCATTACCAAGAGCCAAAATTAAGATGGTGAGCAGGAGCCATGAAATGAAAATTAGCGTATAAAAATCATTACCGTGGTTAAACTAAAAAATAAATACCTAACTCCATTAGTTTATATTAAGATTTATTCCTAGTTGCAAGAAGCTTGTGAGTTGGTTAAGAGCGTGTTTTTGCAACCGCCTGCATAAAAAATAAGCACCCAAATTTTAGACCAAACTTCAAATAGGGATCAAACCATTAGTTACTACATCCTGTGACGTAAATACAAGAATGGCCAGTTATCGGCTGCCACGCGTACCCCAATACAATGAACTCTTTCATCCTCAATACGTGGCGAATTTCGATTATTCAAACCACGCCCGTATGACAAAGAAATATATCATCCGGGGGTTCCATCATCTTCCTTTAGAGGTGCATCATCTTCATGCCAAAAATGCTTAGGAAATTGATGTGAGCTAACATCTGTTGCCTCAGACAATTGCCTCTTTAAGTTCCACAATAAGGACTCTGCAGCAATGACGCCACCATATTCAAACCAAATAAGTCAGTGCAGCACGTATATAGGTGAATTACACATTTGTGTTTGTAAAGAAACTCATCCGCACCAACATTAAATCCACCATATTCAAACGAAATCAGAACGATGAAAAGAAACAAAAAACATCGTCCAAGGGTTACCTACATGATATATCTGTTGCACCAGCGTGAAGATCACTAGGACATCGGAAGAAAACTAGAAAAGCATGCCACGGCTGTTAACTCATGCCAGACAGGTTCAGTAATTGATGCAAGCTAGCATATGTTCCCTTGGGTAATTCTACTTTACAGTTCCACACCACAGTTTGCTCGCTGCTGCATCCACAAAGGCCATAAATGAGTGTGTCCTGGCACACTGTATCAACAGATGCTTAGGATTGATTTTACAAAATTCTTGATAACTGATGCTGATTCACGCAACCGATAAATGGTAAAAAGAATACAGAACAGTTGAATAATGCATCAATAATACACATGAGCTACTGAGTCTGCAACTTTGATTCTCATAACTTTCAAAAACATTTCTTCTTTTTCTCTGCCCCTCCCTCCCCACTCACTCTTTGTCTCTCATCAAGAAGTTTATGTTGGGCATAAATAAAAAGAATGAAACGAAAAGAAACATCAGAAAACACACCTCGAAAGATTTAACTACACACATCTTTCCATTTGTCAGCTGCGATTATATGATCGGAACCACAAGGGCATAAAGTATCAACGCAAGCTTCAAGCTGGTATCTGAATAAAGAAAACGAGACAGCCTGCCAATGGAGAAGGAGGAAAGTGTGGATGCAAGTTTGTGCCGCCTATGTCGCAAGTAGGCTTCTGCAGACCAAAATAAGCGGTATTGATGGTTTTTATTATTTTTGATATAAGAAACATTCATGCTTTCAATAAGAAATCAATGAAGTCCGAAACCGGAATGCGGATGCAGCGACGTTAACAAATAACGACACCATTTTTCCCTGAAGCCCAGGAATAAAACATATTCCAAAAGTTCTTGGTCAAAAAATTGTGAGTTTTCGAAGTACTATATATTCTATAAGTGAGAAACAAATTGATAATTGCAAAATTTGTAAGAGATGAGAAAGAAAATGCAGAGATGAGAAACAAATTGCAAAATTTGTATTTCTGAAACGTTAACACATTATTCGGTTATGAAAGAGTACCTATACATGTTGCACTTTTGATGCTTACTATATATGCTGGATTGATCCTCTTCATACCATCCGAAAATGTTGAAGATGTGGGGATAATGTGTCTTCTTTGCTGCAAAGAAAAAATTGATCAATATGCTATGATTCTTATTTCTATTATGTCCTTCATTTTTCAAACTATTGAAGGTAATTAGATGCAAAATACCTGAGATATCTTGGCCCAATCTTCTCCCGTCTTATTCTCATACCTTTTCTCTAGGGTGGAACAAGAGTAGATCTCCAGGTAAGAAAGAGATGGCAGCAAACCGTTTTCTGGCATGAATTGGAGTTTTGGACACCCAGAAATTCGTAGCTCTTGAAGAGAAGTCCCTCTGCTGGAAGGAATTCCAGACTTGGGCAATTACAAATAATTAGATATTGAAGAGAAATGAGGTGTTGAATTCCCTCTCGTGGCAGGAATTCCAGACTTGGGCAATCTGCAATAGTTAGCCGGTGAAGAGAAGCGAGGTGTCAAAGTCCTTTTACGTCCACCGATTTCAGACTTGAATGTCCAGCGATGCGGAGATGTTTAAGAGTAGCAGGGAGCATCTGTTCCTTGAGCAACGGTGCTTAGATCTCGCCAGCAATTGCAAATTCTTCAAGGGAGACAAGTCCTTGTAATCCCCACTCCACTGAAGGCTTCAATTTGTCGCAATCCCAGAACTCCAATCTTCGAAGATATTTCATTTTGGGCAGGCACTGTATTGCATCAAAATTAGAAATGTAAAGTGTGGACAAGAACTTCTTCACTACTCTCTCTATTAATGGTAACAGACCTGGGCATCCTCCAATAACTATTTCCAATGAATTCTGTAAGTAGTCCACGTTAAGCCAATGGAGGAGGAAAGTGTGGATGCAAGTTTGCGTAGGCTTCTGCAGACCAAAATAAGCAGTATTGATGGTTTTTATTATTTTTGATATACGAAACATGCATGCTTTCAATAAGAAATGAATGAAATCCGAAACCAGAATGCGGATGCAGAAACGTTATCATATAACAGCTCCATTTTTCCCTAAAGTCCAGGAATAAACATATTCCAAAAGTTCTTGGACAAAAAATTGTGAGTTTTCGAACTAGTATATATTCTATAAGTGACGCCAGGGATAAGGCTAGAGATTAAACAAGAGCAAACAATACTTGACAAAGAAAATGGGAGAGATGAGAAACAAATTGCAAAATTTTGTAATTTCTGAAATGTTAATACATTATTCGGTTATGAAAGAGCACCTATACATGTTGCACTTTTGATGCTTACTATGCTGGATTGATCCTCTTCATACCATCCGAAAATGTTAAAGATGTAGCGATAATGTGTCTTCCTTCCTGCAAAGAAATATTTGATCAATATGCTATGATTCTTATTTCTGTTATGTCTTTTATTTTTCAAACTATTCAAGTTAATTAGATGCAAAATACCTGAGAGTGAAATGCCACAACTTTGTATGAGAGAGACAGAGCTCATATGATCACTTCGCCGTTTATCCGTATGCAAGGAATGTGAGATATCTTGGCCCAATCTTCTCCTTTCTTATCCTCGTACCTTTTCTCCAGGGTGGAACAATTGTAGATCTCCAGGAAAGAAAGAGAGGGCGGCAAACCGTTTTCTGGCAGGAATTGGAGTTTTGGACACCCAGAAATTTCTAGCTTTTGAAGAGAAGTGAGGTGTTGAAGTCCCTCTCGTGGCAGGAATTCCAGACTTGGGCAATCACCAATGGTTAGATATTGAAGAGAAGTGAGGTGTTGAAGTCCCTCTCGTGGCAGGAATTCCAGACTTGGGCAATTACAAATAGATAGATATTGAAGAGAAGCGAGGTGTCGAAGTGCTTTTACGTCCACCACCGATTTCAGATTTGATAGTCCAAAGATGCCGAGACAGTTAAGAGTAGTAGGGAGCAGGAGCTGTTCCTTGAGCAACGGCGCCCAGATCTCGCCAACAATTTCAAATTGTTTAAGGGAGACAAGTCCTTGTAATCCCCACTCCACTGAAGGCTTCACTTTGTCGCAACCTCTAACAACAAAATATCGCAGGTTGGGAGGCAAACCCCCTTGGGCAAATGATACCAGATTTGGAAGACTGTATAAATACAATGCTTCAAGGGCGGTGAGGGTGCCAATTCGTTCGGGGAACGACTTCAAATTCTTGCAGCCAATGACTTGCAAGTGTCTCAAGTTGGGAGTGGGCAGTCCTCCGTCCGGGAAAGACGCCAGATTTGGACAGCGGTGGATTCGCAGGGAGTTGAGGTGGCTTAGGTTCTGATCAACTCCTTCAATAGAAAAGGATTCCAGATTCTCACAACCATTGATTACAAGAGTTGAAAGTTTGGGGAAAACGCCCAACGGGAAGGACCTCACTGAATGAAAACTCTTGATTATCTCCAAATGCTCAAGTGATGTCAATTCGGCCATCATCTCATGAGATAAGAACTCTAATGACGACACGGTTGGGCAATTCTCGAATACCAACGTTCGAAGATATTTCATTTTGGGCAGGCACTGTATTGCATCAAATTTAGAAATTAAAAGTGTGGACAAGAACTTCTTCTCTACTCTCTCTATTAATGGTAACAGACCTGGGCATCCTCCAATACCTATTTCCAATGAATTCTGTAAGTAGTCCATGTTAAGACCACTACTACTACTGGCCCATTCATCATGCAGACGTAGATATCCACATCCAAACACGTTAAGTGTTTTCAAGCATGGAAGACGATTGGGCAAGTATCCTCTCAGCTTCGGACAATCGATTATTATCATCTTCTGGAGACAAGGAAAGGGCTGAAGTACAGAAGCTCCACTTGGACTCGGTCGACAATTCTCCCACTCTTCCCACTCTGGCATCTCCTCAAACTCCAGCGTCTTCAGAGACCGAAAGGGCTGAATTACAGAAGCTCCATTAAGATCACCATAGAATTCAACACCAACCGTCCTAACAAATTTCATCCTTCTGATACGTAGCTCTTGAAGAGTGGGCAGCTGCCCAAAACTTGGCAAGGACAAACAATACTTACAATCACTGATCCACATGAACTGTATGTTCGAGAAGGAATTAGAGCTTCCTAACCAGTTTGGGAAGCTGGTTCCTCCATAGAATCTGATAGTCAGTTTCTCCAAATTTGCAGAAGGTTGGAGCTTGTCAAGCACATCTCTCTCCTTTTGGGAATCATCGGCTTCCTCATCACCCCATGCCAACTCTAAGTCATTGAGTTCTTTCTTATTCTTCAAATTGGCTTCCAAAGCATCCACAACATCAACTACATTTTGCAGATTTGAAATACAAAGTCTTCCTTGAAGATGCTGCAACTCCCTTAATTCTCCAATGCTAGATCCGGTATATTTCCCCACAACAAAGTCAGTTAATGTTCTCAAACTCTTTAGTCTTCCAATTTCCACTGGCATCCCTTCTATCTTTGTTCCACTGACATCGAGGTAGTGCAAACTACTCAATTCCCTCATATCTGCTGGTAATTTAGTAAGGCAATAGCAACCTGCCAACGTTAACGTCCGTAAATTTTTCAATTTTCTCATGTCTGCTGGCAGTTCAATGAGATTACGACAATCTGACAGCAGTAACGTCTGCAAATTGTAGAGAGTGCAAACTGCACCAGGTAAGCTTACAATTGCCGTCCGGGAGAGATCCAGGTAGCGCAGGTGAATGAGATTGCCCACAGAATCAGGTACTTCAGCAAGATATTGATAACGGGACAATGATAAAACCCGTAAACGTTTCAGGGATGGCAACAAATCATGTAGAAACTTTTTACTTATGTGGAAGAACCCGACATATATTGAGATAGGTAGGAAGGTCCGCAGACACTTAGCCCCATTTAATGGCTCAAATTTTTTAGCAGCATCAAATTCTCCCCTAGCATATGACAAATGACGAAGTCTTTTAACTTCTTGTGATTCCCTCTCTTCCAACCTGAGAAAAAATCCCCTAGCCATGAACCGACCCAAGTCGTTAAGAAGATCATGCATTGTAAAACCATCCTCCCCTGATTTTTGAAGTAGTGATCGTGATACTAGCTCGTCAAAGTAACTTCTAGCCGTGTCTTCCATTCTTGTCCCATTGAAACCTTGCGGAATGAAACCTTCTGCCATCCAAAGTAGAACCATATCTTCCTTCTTGAACTGATAGTCTTTTGGAAATAGTGAACAATACACAAAGCATCGTTTCAACTGAGCAGGAAGATAATGATAACTCAACCGTAGGGCTGGAAGGATACCACTTTCATCACAAGGTAGCTCCCAAAGACTACTATTTAATAACATGTTCCATTCCTTGAAGTCTCTCTGGCAACGTAATAGACCCCCGAGTGTTTCTGCTGCTAAAGGCAACCCATTGCACTTGCGTGCAATTTTCTTGCCAATTTCTTCCAAAGTTGGATGTGCGTTGTGGTTTTTGTTTCCAAATGCATGGTTTGCAAGTAACATCCAACAATCTTCGTGCGACAAAGGCTTCAAGTGTTGAATGAGAACATTATTCATGTGAGATGCGACCTTTCCGCTTCGTGTTGTCACGATGACTTTACTTCCCCTTGCCCCGGAAGTAAAAGGAGCTTGCAGGCGCTGCAATTCAGAATAGCTGTCATTCCAAAGGTCATCCAACACAAATAAGAATTTCTCTCCCCTCAGTCGTTCTCGAAGTTCAACTTGAAGCAAATTCAAATCTGTCATGTTACAAGGTTTTGATGTGACCGACTCGAGAAGAGTTTTAGTCACCCTAATAGCATCATAATCTTCTGAAACACATGCCCAAGATCTACGGGTAAAGTGCTTGTTCACCTTATCATGGTTGTAAAGGGCTCGAGCAAGGGTCGTCTTGCCAACCCCGCCCATACCAACAATGGTGAGGATAGATACATCATCAGAGAACAAGACTTTTGATAAATTTTCTTTATCTTCGTCTCTTCCATATACAAAAGGTTCATGAATCAAGGAAGTTGTTGGAGTTCTTTGTGAAACCTTCCTCCCAACAACTTCTGTAAGACCAAGGGCAACTTTCTGTTGCACAAAGCCCTCCAGCCTTTGTAATAACCCTTGTATCTCAACATTCATGCTTCGATAAAAATTACTACGAGAAGGAGAGAAGAAGTCCAACACCTTTTTGGTTAATTTCTCGGTTTGACCTTCACCTTCCACCTTGCATCGCAAAGCTTCAGTGTCGATCTCATCCAGCAGGTCCTCCGCGTCGAAGACAGCATGTTTGAGCTCGTCAAGCCAGTCTCTCACAGCAGGGTTTGAAATTTGCTTCTCTTCCGCATCGTTGAGCACTGCATAAAGGGTGAGCAGCGTCGTCTTCAGTTTCATGAGGAGTGGTTCATCCAGCTTCTTCTGCCGGAACAAGTCACCGAAGTCGGCTGAAGCAATTCTGTCACACAGCACCTGGATGGAAGCGGAGATAAAAGCCTCTCCAATCAAAGCGGCAGCCATTTTTCTCTTTGGTTGCTTAGTTTGCTAGTAGCTCAATGAAGAAGAAAAGGCTTTTGAGATTGTAATTATTGATGCATCCCAATTCGTAAAGAACTTGTGATTGGTCAGTTGACCATAAAAGAACTTGTGATTGGTCTGTAATTAGTCTTTTGGTTCAAATGTTGTCCCATGGATCCAGATCTGGATCTTTTTATTGGTAGCCTACAACATCGTGGCCGTTGATTCAAAGTGGATGCAAATCGTACGGCCATTAAATTTGTTAATTTACACAAACATCGAGGCGTTGCTTAATGGTTTCCAGCTGGTGCTTCTCCTGAAAAACGAGGCGCTCCCTTTTCTGGGAGAGTGACTCACATGACGACGTTAAATCAGAACATGTGAAATTGTGAGATAATAAAAGAGAAGATAAATGTTTAGGGGATTTTTTAAAAAGGGTTTTTTGATATGGATCAAAGTAACTAAAAATTAAACTTATTTTAAAAATAAAAAATCATTAAAAATTGAACTTATTTCAAAAGATAATCTATAAAATTGGATCTATTTCAAAAGAGGTTTTTGATATGGGTCCAAACTAACTAAAAATTAAACCTATTTCAAAAATCAAAAGTCAATAAAAATTGGATCAATTTCAAATTTTTCCTTTTTAAAATTAGAACTTTTCAATCATTCTTTGTCATTTTATAATTTAATATTAATTTTTGTGTTATTATAAATTGTTTATGAAATTAATTCATTCCATCAAGATGATCTTTGAAATTGAAAATCGGTCAATATAATCTTTCTAATGTCAAAATTAAAATTAAAAAAAATTCTCCCGTCATCTTCGTCAAGATGGCAGCCAAGCCTGCGGGAGGAACACAACAAGAGAATAAAAAAACTCCCTACCTTCATCTATCACTCCCCTCTGTATTTGTTTCTCTCACAGCACAGACCACCCCGCCTTCGCAATCTGAAACGATGCAATAGCACTGAACGATGAACTCTGCGATTTCGAACAAGGACGAACATGATCTGGAACAAGGAACGACCAACTCCTCAAGGAAATTGCAATTTTGTGTTTTGTTTTTGTTGATAGGGTGTGTCGTGGCTTCGTGGTTCCTCTTGAGATTGGATGGTGGGGTGTGGATACTGCGTACTGGGGAAAGAAAGGGGAAATAAAGGGGTTGTAGACAAAGATTATGGATTAGTAAACGCATCCTAAATTCATAGGGGTTCCCCTGCGTCAAGGGTATTTTGTAACAGGGAGGCAACTCTTTAAGTATTCGTGATGCAGTAATGGATCGGATGTTTTATAACAGCCAAATTGTTTCATAAACAGGGAAGCCATGTTTCGGTACACCACATTTGCCCACAAATAAAATTCAAGACCCTAAAAACAAATCAAGAAATTATATCCAAACAAAACGTCCTCGGTTTATATCAAGTAATTTTCACTGACCTGGAACTTACTCCCAAGTAATCAAATAGGATGGGAAACTCCGTGACAACAAAACCATACTGAGAGTAACACACCACTCTTCAACCTTCAAACATGACCCGAAAGTCTAACCCGACTTTCGACGACGACGTCGCCGACACCAATTGGACAAAACTATAGACCCATAGAAAAATACCGTCACTCTTCACTCTTGATCGTCTTTCTTCTCTTCCTTGGCAGCAGGTGCCTTTTCTTCTGCCTTCTCCTCAGCAGGTGATTCTTCTTTTACTGCATCGCTCTTCTTAGCTGCAGCAGGTGCCTCTGCCTGAGACTTCTCCCCAACACTCAATTTATCGAGAAGCCCAGCAGCTTCAGTGGCTTCTTTGCTTTCTTCTTCTGGACTCTGGGATTCAGCAACTTCTTGAAACTTCTCCATGAACAATTTGTTATCTGATAAAGAAAAAAACAATCAAACATCGATAAGCTACTTGCGTGATGATGGTTGGGACCTTGTACCAAGATCTGCTATAAACACATTTAACGCTTGATGAGAGATGAAAATGCGGAAAATGCAACTGAATGGATGATGCTGCAGAGAAAGAACCACTGCAAATGCATCATGGCTATAGGAAAAGTTTACATTGGATCCTTTCAGAAGGTAGACATCTCCCAAAGCTCATACTGAATTGTATAATATCAGTAACGCACTACCAAATAATTGAGATGGTAGGAAGAATCTACTCCCAGAAATAATGCTACAGAAAAATTATTCATTCAAATCAATACACATGCATGTCAGAGAAAGCATGGCAGAGGATGTCACCTCCTTATTATATGCTTATGAAAAATAATGCTCTAGATCTATGGTTCTATACACACTTAAGAGAAATAATACAACTTGAGTTACAATTTAAATCAAGATCCGTAGGCAACATATCTGCTAATTTATGGTTTCCTGTATATCTTGACAACACTCCTGAAAGCTAAGATTTATTTACTCATAAAGAGAAACACCTAGGACCTTGAAGTCTCAGAAACTGATTACCCTATACTTTATAAAGGCAGCACCACTACACAGAAGCCTTTGAAGAATTGATGCCCATTTTTCCTAATATAAACTCAAGTCAAATCAAAGACCATAACTCTCTCTAATCAACGAAGAACTCAAATCTATTGTGTTTGCTCTGTTATTCCCGAATATTCATATTCCCACGTTCCATAGTATGTAAGGGAACCTAATTCACCACGACTACGTGCACTACTGAGAGATATTCAGTAAAACATATTTTGGTCCAACACTGACTTCAAAAGCTCTAAAGTTCATAACCTCTTCAATTTGCAAGCAACATTAGTGCAAGGAAGCCAAAAGGTATAAATTCTTACACGTTCCAACATGCAGGTAAAGTTTCCAAACGGTAAAAATGTGTGCTTTAAAGCCTAATTGGAACACATCCCCGTAAGTTTTAAGCTTAGTTAGAATGTACAATTCCTCATTGCGGTGAGGTGATCATAGCTTTACAAAAGAAAATTAAGGAAGAAAACCCACTTTAAATATATGATTAACACCAACACAATCGGTAAAAGAGATGTTTTCATTCAAGTATCAGCAAATTACTCACATGCGAGAAGAAACAAAAAACAACATCCATACAAAAGGGTTAGACCTAAACTCTTAACATCCAATAAAAAGAGAGCAAGTCATGGTGTCCCACATATACACATGTCCAACAAGTACATCTTTTCAAAGTTAGTAATTTCAATGTTTAAATGTGGGTTTTGTATTAGTTAACTTTTTTTTTGCCAGCAATGTATTAGCTACTTACTGGAGAGCATCACTTGGTACACTCTCAAGTCATACCAAATACATTAATAAATTAACTCAAATTTACATCATCAAATAATACATAACACAGATATACACGTATTTATTATGACTGAATCTAGTCAGACCACTCATCACACACAATTTCAAATCAAATTGTGATATCAATAGCATCCCTCTTCAAAGCCACTATCAAACATTCAACTCTAAACATTAAAAAACAATATCTTATTGAACTCGGACAAAGGTAATTAGAAGAAACGAAAAATTATTAAATTCGGATATTTCATGAGTTCAAAATAGCTACAGATTACATACATATACGAAAGTAAGAGATAGTACCAAGTATACTACCATCTAATATCAAGCAAAACCAAAAATAAAGATTACGATCAGATAAACTTATAAAGTAGATCAAACAAATTAACTCACTTTCAATTGAAGCAAATCTAATGCAGAAAAGCTCCTCCTTCAATTCCCCATCAGCAAAATCGGTTGCGTGCCAAACACAGGACTTCTCATTCCCTGCGTGCTCCTGGACTGTCATCTTCGGTAGAACTGCAGTTAACAACATAACAGAGCACAAGCAAAAATATTCAAAACCCTAAACCCAAAATAATAACAGAGCACAGCAAAATCGGTTCTGTACAATTACAATGGAATACTAGACTATGAGAGACTAACCAAGATGATTGGCGCAGATCTTTAGGGTTTTGGACTGCCGCATGACAAGGCGGACTTTTCCAGTCTTCTTGTGCTTGAGAAACTTGACAGTGCCGGCACCTCGCTCCTTCCATTGATTACCGTCTTTATCAAATCGGTAAAGCTTCGCCTTCCTATTTACACAAACACAGCAGACAGATTAATAAGAATTTAAAACGTTCAGTGCGCTAATCGAATCGAATCAGAACAAAACCCTAGCTACGTTTTTCCAGATCAGAGTAAAAAGCGAAAAACCTGAGTATTCGACGAGAAATGAATCGGGGGAAGAGACTTACAGATCGAGGATGGCGTCTTCCTCTTCCTCACCGGTGGTGACGGCGACCTCCTCCAGCCGAACGATCGGAGCGACCTGAGCTCCGGTGTCCTCGTCATCGCCGGCGAGTGGTGCCTCCTCGTCGTCTCTGTGCCCTGGATCGGCGCTCGACATCTTGTAGAGAGAGAAAAGTATGAAGTAGGAGGAGTAGTAGATATGGGAGTGAGAGAGATTAGGGAAGGGGATCAGGGTTGAGGGTTATGGGGGCTTTTATAGTAGTAGGAGCGTGAGTAATACGCCATTCAAAACATAGACGACCAAGGCCCAAATTCTTAAACCCAAAATAATTTTAAATTCCCTACCATACATTTTTTTTTTAATTTAAAAAAACAATTGTTCTGTTGTTCAGTACTACGATCTGGTGGTACTCGGTATTCTTCTTTATTTGTAAGTAAGAATTTTTAGGTTTAAATCTCGTGTATAGTGAATTCGATATCAAATTAGATTGTCTATTGTATGATTTAACCGAACTCCCCTTCCCTCCTAATGTAACATATATCTTTGTACTCAAAAAAAAAAAAACACAATAGTTCTCTTTGTTCAAAAAAAAAAAAAAAACAACCAATAGTTCTCTAGAGATATTTAAAAAAAAAAAAAAAAAGTTTTAGAAAGTTTTTAGTTTTGGTCAAAATGGGTTTGTTGGTATGACTCATCACTTTGTTATTTGAGATTTAAAATTGATAAAAATTGGTCGTTGAACTTGTCTACCATTTATCATTTTAGTCATCCTATAAAAATCTCTCCTAAATAAAGTATAATGACAAAAATACCCTTGAGTTTTGTTAAATCATTTTGATCCATTATTTACTAAATTAAGAATATTTTTGTCATTTTTGTTTTTATTTAACAAAGATTTTAAATGGAATGACCAAAATAATTGATACTGAACAAACTCTAGGATCACTTCTTTTGATTACAAATATCAAGGAAGAGTTATATCAATTTCAAGAATCATTTTGATTAAGATGTCTTTTTGAAAAGATTAAATTTGTTTACATTTACTAAAATATGCGTATGAAAATCATTTTGTTGCTTAACATTTTTCTGCATTTACTTACGCCTAAAAAAGGGGAAAAATAAAAGTTTCCTGAAAAAAAAAAAAAAAAAAAAAAAAAAAGAATCAGATCGGAGGGAACACTAGCTGATTCAATTCCCTTTACTTTTCATACCATCCGCTAGTTAAAAGAGTTCCATAACACTGCAATGACGGTGGGGTTTGCCACACCGTATCAGGAGTATGGAATATTCCCATTGGAGATTCCGCAGCAAGCACTGCAGCCACCTTATGCTATGAGAAAACAGTTTTTCGAACCGCTGGACAACCTGAGCACGACAACCATATCTTTTGGTTTCAATATCTACATCACTACGTACTGATTTCCGCAGCATAAGGGGAAAGACATGCACTGAAAGAAAAAAAACACACGCACACACTGTCGTTACTGTCTGCAGGCCAGCGGTTTTGATCAAACTAGAACACAAGATGAAATAATTGCCATTGATATATGATAATCATAATCGTGACGAAAAAAGAACCGTGAAACCGCGATTATTTCTCATAAGCTTTGTAGTGAATACAAGCTGCCAACAAACCGTCTGTCCACTGGTTTGATGAAACTAAAGCAATCTTAATTATTGAAATCAAACGGAAAACCAGAACGTCTTCACACTTCAAACATATATTTTACAACAGTGCCTCCCATGAGGCCCTAATGATCAAGCAGCAGATGGGCCGGAGATGAATTCGACAGCGCCAGTCTCGGAAAACGCCGCTTCGGATGGATTCACGTTAACTTGGTCTGTGCCCTTCTCAAGCTCAGCTGAAGTCAGAGTCTCCTTGTAGTCCAAAGAGTCATCACTGTATATTTCCTCCCATTTGTTCACCAGCATCTTAACATCTTCCCTCTCCATGTTCTCTTCCTTCCCAGTGTAAGTCCATGGCTTAGACCCCTGAACCAAAAATATAAATGTCACACTCTCAACTTAGTTGATTAAAAAGAACGGACGTGCATCAATATTACAAAACTCATTAAGGATGGTAACGAGAACTCACATTAGCACAATAGTTAACAACTTTGACCCTGTCAAGCTCAACGGCCTCTGGGTGACGCCAGAGCATGGGCAGCAAAAGGTTGTAATGTGGAGCCAGGGCCACCAACTTGTCCTTGAAAAACACGTTCAGAAGATCCTGCAGAAAAACAAGCACAAAACTGCAGTGTCAGATTTTATAACCCGATTGAGCAAGCAAATAAATACAAACAACAAACAATGATTCAATAAAAGTTCTCATTTTTCACGTACTGTCAAACAATGATTCAATAAAAGTTCTCATTTTTCACGTACTATCAAGTGTCGAGGTTCCTTTAAATTGGAACTGGATCCCCTCCTGAGGATAGGGTGGGAATTCTCCTAACCAGACCATCTGAGTTTTTTAAATTTGATCTAACGGCTACAAGCAGAGGTACATTAAAAGTTATAATTATTGTAAACGTTTGATCAAATTTCAAGGACCCAGAAGGTCCGATCAGGAAGATCCCCATCCTATGTTCAGGAGGGGATCCGGGTTTAAATTGTCCTTCTATGTCGTAGGGATAATAAAAAAATATGGCGAGAGAGATAAAATTACCTGCTCTGCAAAAGCGGTAGTACGAGAAGTCTGCAGGGTCTTGACGAGGTCACGGTAGGTCACCCAGCTGGGCTCAAACACAAACATGTCAGCATTGAAGTAAAGAGGAGGCTTGGGGCCCAATGTGGGGTCCATCTGGTCCATGTTTGGCCACTGCTGGCAGTACCCAATCTTGTGCTGTGGGCTATGGCTCCAAGACTCGCAGAAGCAGTCCAGCGTCGCATAGAAGTAGGAGTCAGGGTAATCAAACATGTGGTCAATGTTCTCAAAGACTTGGACGAAAACGTCCAAGTAGATCATTTTGTCATACTCCTCAAGCTGAAAGTTTCAATCAAAAGGTAACGTAGGACTCAAATCACATGCAAAATCTATCTACTAACAATTAATAAAATATTAATGAAATAAATAAATACATAAACCTTTACCTCCCAAATGCGAAGCTTGGAGTAATCTGTGACATATGAGGCCATGATCACAGGCTCAATCTCTTTCACTATGCAGCCATGGGAGGCCAGAAGCTTGCGATCTTTTTCAGACACATCCGGCAAGACAGCCACAACCAGCGGGTATTGGCTCGTCACTTTTTTCAAGCCCTTGACCAACCCAACCGCACCGATCAAAGCCTCGTCATAGTCTCCAGCCAACATGGTCACATAGGCCCTCCTACCTTGAGCTTTCCTAATGACGCAACACATCAGAGAGAGAGAGAGTTAGTCAAGTTAATCATATAAAACAAGAAAAGACGAAAAACAATTGGAGCAAGAGCAATTAACTTACAGATCTCTGTGCATGATGGCAACCGGACGATAGGTCTGAGATCGGATGTCATCGTCGTCGCCAGCGAGTGGGGACTCCACGAGGTCTCTGTGTTTGGGATCGGCGCTCGACATCTTTTGTGGACTATAGCTGATGGCTTGGAGAATGTTGTGATTTTGAGGTGGGGGTGATTGGGTTTATATAGGGAAGGAAATGATGAAATTTTGAATTTCAGTTTATTTATAAAATTGCCGCTTGCAGAACTTTGGTGGATGTGGCAACTTTATCGGGTTATTTACAAAATTGCCACTGGTAACTTTGGAGGATGAATTTCATGTGCACAACTTTGTGGCGACTTTGGAGGATGAATTTCATTGGTTTTTGTCACCGGCAACTTTGGAGGATGAATTTCATGTTATTTACAAAATTGCCACCACAACTTTGTCTGGTTTTTGTCACTGTCAACTATGGAGGATGAATTTCATGTTATTTACAAAATTGCCACCACAACTTTGTCGCAACTTTGGAGGATGAATTTCATTGGTTTTTGTCACTGGCAACTTTGGAGGATGAATTTCATGTTATTTACAAAATTGCCACCACAACTTTGTCGCAACTTTGGAGGATGAATTTCATTGGTTTTTGTCACTGGCAACTTTGGAGGATGAATTTTATGTTATTTACAAAATTGCCACCATAACTTTGTCTAGTTTTTGTCCCTGGCAACTTTAGAGGATGAATTTCATGTTATTTACAAACTTGCCACCAAAACTTTGTCTGCTTTTTGTCACTGGCAACTACTTTAGAGGATGAATTTCATGTTATTTACAAACTTGCCACCAAAACTTTGTCTGCTTTTTGTCACTGGCAACTTTGGAGGATGAATTTCATGTTATTTACAAACTTGCCACCATAACTTTGTCTGCTTTTTGTCACTAGCAACTTTGGAGGATGAATTTCATGTTATTTACAAACTTGCCACCATAACTTTGTCTGCTTTTTGTCACTAGCAACTTTGGAGGATGAATTTCATGTTATTTACAAAATTGCCACCACAACTTTGTCGCAACTTTGGAGGATGAATTTCATTGGTTTTTGTCACTGGCAACTTTGGAGGATGAATTTCATGTTATTTACAAAATTGCCACCACAACTTTGTTTGGTTTTTGTCACTGGCAACTTTGGAGGATGAATTTCATGTTATTTACAAACCTGCCACCACAACTTTGTCTGGTTTTTGTCACTGGCAACTTTGGATGATGAATTTCAGGTTATTTACAAAATTGCCACCGAAAACTTTGTCAGGTTATGCCACTGGCAACTTTGGAGGATGAATATCAGGTTATTTACAAAATTGCCACCGAAAACTTTGTCAGGTTATGCCACTGGCAACTTTGGAGGATGAATATCAGGTTATTTACAAAATTGCCACCGAAAACTTTGTCTGATTATGCCACTGGCTACTTTGGAGGATGAATTTTAGGTTACTTACAAAATTGCAAAATTGCCATCGAAAACTTTGTCAGGTTATGCCACTGGCAACTTTGGAGGATGAATTTCAGGTTATTTACAAAAGTTCAAAATTGCCATCGGAAACTTTGTCAGGTTATTTACAAAATTGCCACTGGCAACTTTGTTAGGTTATTTACAAAACTGCCACTTGCAGAACTTTGGTGGGTGAATTTCAATTTATTTACAAAATTGCCACCGCCTCTTTCCTTTTTTTCTGTTTTTTTTTTTTTTTTTGTAACACAGGATTAGATTAATCTAGGCAGAGATGCCAAAGTTCTACAAGAAGGCCTACAGAGAGGCAAACAGCCAGACAAGGCACTAGAAACAAGTAGTGGAAGGAGCTATATGGAGCTCGACGCCACACCTAATGCTAAAACGGCACTCCTCACACTACCCACATACAGACCTAGTGTAGACAAGGAAGTCCATCATTACAAAGAACATGAACTAGGGAAGATGGAGGTATGTCCAGCTAAATCACATTGCACATTTCCCTACTTCGCCATGACGTCGAGAGGTGAAGAGGGGGAGAAATTGCACTGTATAGATAAACAGTGGCTTTGCGTGAATTTCAGTTTATTTACAAAATTGCCACCTCCTCTTACTTTTTTTTTTTTTTTTTTTTTTTGGGGAAAACGGGTTACTTTATTACTAAAACACAACATAATTATAGCACAGAGGCCCAAATACATAAACCACATAAGCAAAAGAAAGACCTATGTTGTAACTTAATAGCCCAAAATGCAGTTTTGAGCCTAAAATGTAGTTTTGAGCCCAAAACAGAAGCACATAAACCCTAACAACTTCCTCCATGTGCTGCCGTCAAAAACGCCGCAACAAAACAACGAGCACGAGCCTCCACAACCAACATCTGCCAGGAGCCCAGCCAAATAGCACCTCAGAGATAGAAAGAAAACAGAGTTCGTCCTCTGTCAGATAGCATACCATAGATCACAACCAAATGATAGAAACCAAAGAAGCTTGTGGGATTTCTACAAGCAACACTACCAAAAAAGGTAGACAAGGAAAAGGTGGTGGTGTGGCCACCTGAGCCTATGTAAACACCGGAACTCTACGCACCTTCTTGATGGAAGGCCGCAACAAATCACGCTAAAAATGGTTGCAGATCGGAGCGGAGAGGGAATCCATGGAAGATAAAGAACATGCATATAAAGGTATGAATGGGGGACATGCAGATGGGTGGGTGGGTGGGTGGGTGGGGACATGATGATTGGTTGAAGGGGAAAAGAAATCCGATTCGAAGGCTGGAAAACTCAGTGGCAAGTAGGGGTGGAAAGTCAAGAAAAACAAGGAAGAAACTGGGACAACCACCAAAGAACCAAAATGGAGAGGCTGCCACAGACTCTACACTAAAATAAGGTCGGCGGCTAAAGGAGGAAATTAAGGTTTTTGGCTGCTCTCACATACAAGGAGAAAATTCTCACTCACAGAGAGGAAGGCTCTCACTAAGAGCAGTTCCAGCGTGGGAACCCTCCAGGCAATACAGTATGTTATCCATCCAGTGAATAGTAACTACTCTTAATGAACAGTAATCGCCTTTTGCATCTCTACCGTTGCACTTCAATAGCTCTAGCAATAGGCAATAAAATATTAGTATTTTTTATTTATAAAATATCAATTATTGGTGATGGATTTATGATAAGATTATTAACCAATCACGTCGCGCCACGTGGCATTATCTACAACCTAATCCTTTCTGATTCCTAATGTCTTCTTCTTCAATGATGTTGTGGGAAATCGATCAGCAAGAGAAAAAATTGTTTAACCAATCAGAAGGAATGTTTCATCTCCAGGTGGCCCAAAATGAGAGGGAAGAGGAAGATGAGCATAGAATGAGAGATGACGAAGTAAGAATGGCAAGAGCCTCACATTCCCGTCAAGTCATCCAAGCTGTGGGTCAGATTTTTAGGCCCAGCCATTCCGGAAACCTTGATAGAAGCAGGCAACGACGAGGTATGGAACTCTTGGACGATTATTTTGTCCGTAATAGTGCAGTCCCTAATAAGTACTTTAGACGTCGTTTTAGAATGGAACGACATTTGTTCAACAAAATCATGATTGCTGTTTGCAACCATGATTCTTACTTTGTGCAAAAGAATGATGATTTTGGTGCTATGGGTCTCTTTCCCCAGCAAAAAATTATTGCTGCCTTGCAGATGCTTGCATATGGAGCCTCTACAGACTAAGTGGATGAGATAACCAGGATGGGGAAATCAACCATTCTTGAGTCCCTGATGAGGTTTTGCAGAGCAATCGAATCTATCTAAACCGCAGAGTACCTCTGGAAACATACTGACATGGACTTACAAAGGTTTCTGAAGAAGGGCGAGATGCGAAGTTTTCCAGGGATGATTGAAAGCATCGATTGTATGCACTAGACGTGGAAAAATTGTCCAAGTGCATGGTAAGGCACTTATGGAGACAAAAAATGAGCAAAAAGTATCATTTTGGAGACGGTAGCATCTTTTGATACATGGATTTGACACACCTTTTTCGGGGTTTCAGGAGCTCAAAATGACCTCAAAGTCCTTACCCAATCCCCAGTGTTCAACGACATCCTGCAAGGAAAGGCACCAAAAGTCACATACTGCGTCAATGGACGTATGTACGACGGGCCATACTACTTAGCATACGACATTTACCCAAAGTGGTCAACATTTGTCAAAATAGTGCCACTTCTGCGAAGTGTAAAGGAAAAACACTTTGCAAGCTATCAAGAGGGGTGCATGAAGGATGTGGAGTGTTGTTTTGGTATTCCCCTAGCTCGTTGGACAATTATCAGGGGTGCTGCTAGATTATTTGATGTAGAGTCGCTTCGATCCATCAAGATGACGTGCATCATGCTTCACAACATAATTGTGGAAGATGAGTACGATTATGATAATGAGAAGGGAGATGAAATTGTGGTTGAAAGTAGTTGAGAAGGTAGGAATGTAGTTGAAAGTAGTTGAGGAAATATGAAATTGTGGTGTAAGGTAGATGATAATGAGAAGGTATTTATAGAAATGTAAAAACAATTTTTTTTTGGATTTTTATTCATTTTTTACAATTCTTAAAATTTTTTTATTCAACTAATTAATCTCTACCGTTGGATTTAAAAAAAAATTGAATTCTAACACTCCAGATTATGCGATGTGGCACAACGATAACATTTCTAATTTTTAAAACTATTTTTTCTTTTTTTATTTATTTATAAAGGAGAATAATATCAACCGTTGATCTTAGATCCAACGGTTGATATTATATAATATTTTTTTATTTTTTTTACCGTTACAAATCGAACGGTCCACATTATATAGCCGTTGAGATCCAACAGACCATGAGAAGCCACGTGGCTTCTCAACGGTAACTTTTTGAAACTGCACCACAGATTCCAGGCGCTGAAATTGTGTTGGGTGACGCGCCTTCACGAGTGGGTGAGGTGCACGTGCTTGACAGAAAAAAAATTAAAAATTGAGCTGACCTTGAATGACGTGAGCCCTGCGTCAGATCCACTTCAGGTTCGCAGGCTGGCAATTCCTCACAGGCCTAGTGCTCAAGCCTCCATTGTCCATCGGGCTCCCCACACCGGGCTCTTTGGCCCTTTTTCCTGACCTGTCCCCCGAGCAAACTCCCATGCTGGAGCTGCTCAAACGGAAAGAATCGTAATTTTGTATTGGTCCCACCGCCTCTTACTTTTGTCTAAAGAAAGGAGGAGAAATTGGGATCCAGCCGGACGCCTTCATTTGTCCGTTGGATGAGATCGTGCGGCCACAGATTAATTGTTTGTTTTTTAACTCCTTTCCGCAAATTGAGGTCGCCTAATCTACTCCCCTTCCGTTCCGGTTGTCTCTCTTCAGTCTTCCCCGTTTCGTCTTTGTTAGGTTCATGACACAGTTGCACCGCGCTCTGCAATATTTTGCTCATATTTCTCTGTCGCCGCTGCTGTCTTCTCCTTTTCCATCTCCATCTCTGCACAACTTGCCAAATCTCTCCTGGGAAACCATGCTCAGGTAGATTCGGCTTCAGCACATCCAACAAAAAGGCTGTTGCCTCACGGATCAAGTTCCTCTGAAAGATAAGAGAAAATACACAATGATAAAAATTCCCAAAACTCATGTTCTTCAGAAAAAACAACAAAATGAAGAACATGTTCCAACCAAAATAGTTGACACAACATAAAAGCATATATTTTATCCAAACCTGAAGGAACAGATCGGTGATGGTATTGTAGTCAATGGGACAACCTCCCTCCATTTGAGACATCATTAGAGCAAAATTAACAGCCCCCTGCCATCAAGATAGTTGAAGTTGTTTCAATGTCAGACAATTTAGCTCAACTCATAAGAAGAGCAAAGTACACTAGTTACAGAACCGTTGTAACGATAAAATGCCTCAAACTTTCAAGATAGATGCATGTAGCTGGGGATCCGCCGGCAAAATCGTTTGGAGAAGGAACAAATAATCAGGTTGATATCCAACCTGTGACAATTCAAAAATTATAATAGGATAAATGTCCAGTAAGAGCCGTTGACCAAGTTAGTAAAAATCATAATACCAAAATTGACACAGTAATAGTTTTCGGCCAAGATAATAATGCTGTTCAAAATGATAGAATTTGAACAATTGTATGTCGTTATGATTCTAGCTTGTCCTCTGCTAGCCAATTCTCCAAAAGAAATTACAACTAAACGTGACAGTTCCAATGATTCATAAGCATTGAGTTTTCCTCTAGTTAAAAGAGTTCGAAAATACTGCAATAACGGTGGGGTTTGCCCAGCTTGCACAGGAACGCTCTGCAAAGAATAAACAAAGTGTGTAAATTAGATCCTGATACAAAGATTACATTCTTGTAAAGGAAGCACAATGTTTCCAAGGTAATCTAAAGGTGAAACTGAGAAGCACAAGAACTATGAAGAATATATGTATATAAGCTGACACATGAATAAACTATCAGAATACCATACCTGAAATTTGGCAACAGTATCAGGAGTACGGAGTATTCCCATTGGAGATTCCGCGGCAAGCTCTGCGGCCTCCTTATACTTTGTCTAAGAAAACAGTTCTTCGAACTGCTGGATAAAACCTGAGCACGACAACCATATGTTGTAGTTTTAAGAACTACATCACTACGTACTGATTTCCGCAGCATAAGGGGAAAGACATGCACCAAAAAAAAACACACATACACACACTGTCGTTACTGTCTGCAGGCCACCGGTTTTGATCAAACTAATAATTTCCATTGATATATGATCATCATAATTGTGACGGATAAAAGAACCGTGATTTTATTTATCATAAGCTTTGTGGTGCACACAAGCTGCCAACAAAACGTCTGTCCACTGGTTTGATGAAACTAAAGCAACCTTAAGTATTGAAACCAAAGGAAAAACCAGAACGTCCTCAGACGTCAAACATAAAGTGCCTCCCAAGAGGCCCTAATAATCAAGCAGCAGATGGGCCGGAGATGAATTCGACAGCGCCAGTCTCTGAAAATGCTGCTTCGGATGGCTCCCCGTTAACTTGGTCTGTGCCCTTTTCAGCCTCAGCTGAAGTCACGGTCTTCTTGTAGTCCAAAGAGCCATCATTGTATATCTCCCACCATTTCTTCACCAGCATCTTAACATCTTCCCTCTCCACGTTCTCTTCATTCCCAGTGTAACTCCATGGCTTAGACCCCTGAACCAAAAATATAAATGTCACGCTGTCAAGTTAGTTGATTAAAAAGAACGGACGTGCGTCAATAATATTACAAAACTCACTAAATGTTGTAACGAGAACTCGCATTAGCACAGCAGTTGACAACTTTGACCCTGTCAAGCTCAACGGCCTCTGGGTGACGCCAGAGCATGGGCAGCATAAGGTTCTAATGTGGAGCCAGGGCGTCCTTGAAAAACATGTTCAGAAGATCCTGCCGAAAACCAAGCACAGAACTGCAATGTCAGGACTCGGATTTTATAACCCGATTGAGCAAATACAAACAATGATACAATAAAACTTTCTTTTTTTCACGGTAGGTCACCAAGCTGGGCTCAAATACAAACATGCTAACATTGAAGTAAGAGGAGGTTTGGGGCCCAATGTGGGGTCCCACTGGACCTTGTTGGGCCACTGCTGGCGGTACCCAATCTTGTGCTGTGGGTTGCGGCTCCAAGACTTCTCACAGAAGCAGTCTAATGCCGCACAGAAGTAGGAGTTAGGGTCGTCAAATACGTGGTCAATGTTCTCAAAGACTTGGACGTTTCCATCCAAGTAGATCATTTTGCAGGGAACCAGATCACCTTCTAAGCTTAGAAGGTTGAACCTCGTGAGCAAATCACATGGATCGTTGAAATTTAATTTAACGGCTACAAATCACACCCACCAACACCATGCCTTAGCCTCCATCTCCATCTCTCTCTCTCTCTCTCTCTCTCTCTCTCTTTCTCTCAGTTCGGTTTTTTCTTTTCTTTTATAGGCATCGTTGTCATGTACAAAAGTTGGGCATACGGTCGGTCGGTCAATCAACATATTTATTAATTTGTCTCTGATATACCAAAGCAAAAATAAGACAAAACAAGAGGAAGTTTTTTTTTAACCATGTTTCAGTACGTGTTATGCAACTGAAACTAGATTACACTTCCTTCCTCTAATCCTGTTGTAGAAGATAAAAATGGAACATCGGACAAAAAAGTTTCAAAAAAACAAAGAATAAAACATGTTTGAATATAACTGACAGTATACCACCCTGCCACCAACCAGAGATTGATAGCCTAACAAGTAACCTCTCCTCCTGTCCGTGTCCTTGCCGCGTGAATGTTGACATCACCACTGTGTTCATGCTTTACCATGTTGTATATAAGACACACAATTAACTCGTAGAAAATTAGATGTTACTCTCCATCAAAGATCTTTCTTAAGTATAATTTTTTTTTTACTATTTACAATTTTATAGTAAGGGGATGATTTAAACTCGGAACGTATTAGGATAAAGAGAAATACCCTATTGACCAGGGCAATCCACCTTTTGATTTTTTTTTTTAAAAGTGTTTTAATAATAGCTTCTTGCCACCTAGTACTATGGTTTAATGACATTCCTCTTCACTTACAAGTGAGATGTTTTAGATTCGATTCTCGTCAAAGGTGAATTTAAACCATATTATTGCTAGTCCATTGTGAGGCTCAGCTCATTCCCCCACCTCTTAGTGTAGATAATATCGTTTATTCAAAGAAAATAGCAGCGTCTTTGGTTTTTATACTAGAATATTGTGAAGTGGATTTGAGTCAAGTTACATAAATTGTAGTCATAAACATAAATCGAACTTGGTATTATTTATTTATTTATTTTATTGAGTTGAGTTCGAGACCTCTTACTTACAAATGAAAAGAAATAGTATTAGATTGTGACGTTATTTGTTACACTCTATGAAGATTTTTTTTAATATATAAGATATTATCTACACAAAAGGGTGGGGGAGTGAGTTAAACCTCAAAATGAGCTAGCTATAATAATTTCGCTCGAATTTGCCTTTGGCGAAAATCGAACGTAAAACCTCACAAATGAAGAAGAATATCACTAAACTCTAGTACGCAACGACTAAACTCTATGAACATATTAGCTAATCATATTTTTCATATTGAAAACTTAATATTTATGTCATCTTTTTAATTAAAGTGTGATCTACTTAAATCATAGGCCGTATTATTTTTTTTCTTTTTGAAAAAGAGAAAAATGTGATATAGTTTGGATATTATTTTAGTACCACCAACACAAGAAATATATCCAACCATTGTATATTGATTTTATTAAATACATATAAATACTGCAGTCAGTTCCTTCTTCAATTAAAGAACAAAAAATATTACCTTTTAACATGAATATGAATTGGTTGTTGGAATTTACCTTTGATCAAAGGAATGAGAGATTTTTCAGTGTGACCATCACACGGGATGATACACTACATTTCGCTATATAAATGGTGGAATATATGTGTTAAAAAGTTAATAACTTAAAAAATAAAATTTCTCATTACATAAAAATATGTGATGTATCACCCGTATTCTCGTCATAACTAAAAATTTCTCTAAAGTAAGAATCTACGAGAATAAAAACTCCATTTTGGGTTTGGGATATCGTGGCGGACGGTCAACCTTCCTTGTCCTACAAGCAAACTAACTCCCTTCAAATGCCGCCAACATTCCCATTTTTGTTAATAAAAAAAGAGCAAGCATATGAATTCGTTTTTTATCTAGCCCCTTTAATTTAACAGTTACCCACAAAGTGCAAGCATAACAAATATAACTTTCTGCCGACATATTACTGCAGTGAAATGATTTTTTTTCTCACTTATAAGTGAAAAGTGTTCGATACAAATTTTGTGGATAATGAGTTCAAATCAATTTATTCTCATTCCTAATGTAAATATATCGTTGTATTAACAAAAACAAATATAACTTTTCTTGATTTTCAAATGGATGATGCTATGGAGATATTATTTTAGCGGCACAAAATTGTATCTTAATTGGTTTCACATTTATTTATTATTATTAACATGATATATTCATATTAAAGGATGTGAGAATAAATTGATTTTGAACTCACCATCTACGAAATTAAAATTTAAAACTTTTCACTTATAAGTAACAATGAAACCACCAAACGATCATAAGTAAGTGAATAGTTTCAACTTATCAGAATAAAACTTTCATGATAAATTGACACAGAATGTGACGCATGTATGACACATAAAGCCATGGTACAATATCTAACCTCCAAAATGTGGCACGGATAAAAGAAAAGAACAAAGAAGCCGATCAGTGGTGGAAGTGGTGTAAGAAAAAAGAAATAGGAAGAATCTGGTGAAACAAGTTGTATAGTATGGCCAACCTAATCTTATTTTAACTTTGTGCTTAATATGCTTAATTTATATCAATTTTCGATCAATGTATAATAAATAACTAAAAGACTCGTCATTTAGTACCATAATCTAGTGTATTCTTGTTCACTGGTAAGTGAGACATTATTAAAATTAGTAGAAAGCAATATGCAGGCATACAATCTTTAAACTAAGTGTCAGATTAAATTTGAAAGATGTTCATCATAACAATTATCAAATTAATAAACATTTGCGAAATTGCGAAGTTGTTTGAGAGAGGCCCCGCCTAAGGGTGGGCATGGTCCGCTTCGGTTCGATTTACCCTTCAAACCGGGATCCAACTGGATTTTTTACGGTTCCAATTTGGTTCAAGTTTTCCTAATTTTGACTATGAAAACTTTTTGGGTCGATTTTCAGCCGTTTTGGGCTGAGCCCATTTAACTCTTTCCTGTCTTTTGTATTGGGCTGTAAGAAATCAAAATGCAGCCCAGAAGTCCATGTAACTCTTTTTCTGTCTTTTTTGTACTAGGCTTTGAGAAATCAAAATGCAGGTCAGCAGCCCATAAAACAAAACTGAATCAAAATGAATCAAATGATACCAATCAAAATGAGATTTTTTTTTTTCCATATATGGCCAAATTTTAGACCCCAATTTTATAAATGTCAACTTTTATAACAAATTTTATACATAGCCAAATCACTCTTGAATAGACCCAAATACCCTCAATTAAACATTTTTTATGTAACTTGTGCTAGCTTTTTCTCTTAATGAATGAGCAACAAATATGCAAAATTCATAGGCTTACAATAATATGCAAAATTCTACAACCATGACACACCTATGAGAAGCAAGTGTCAGACCATAAATACCACAAGTCAGTGCCCATGTTGAAACCCCAAAATCTTTGGAATGTACAATCAAAAAGAAGAGAAGCATGCCTAATTTCATCACCAAGCAAACAGACAAAACAGAAACAAGAGGAAAAATTCAAAAAAAATTCAAAAAAAAAAAAAATCAAGGGAAATCTTCCTTACTTGAGGAAAGTCTTGTCGCATAGCACGGAATGGCACGATCCAACACAGAAAATGGGTAGAGAGGAATTTGAAAGAAAAAGTAGTTATGAAGAATTTGAAGAAGGAATAAGGATTAAAGGAGAAAAAGGAGGAGGAAGGACAAATTAAATACTTTTCGTAGGTAGAAGAGCAGTT